GAAACCCTTCTAGCCCTGGCCAAAGCGGTCGCTAATGCTACGGCCTCGCTGGTCCTCAAAGCCAAGTCAGTGGCCAGTACAACAGATGAACCCATTCAGCAGGACCGGGTGATTTCCTCCGCCACCCAATGTGCCCTGGCAACTTCTCAGCTTGTCGCCTGCACCAAGGTGAGCAGTCTTAGTCCGGTAATTTGTAGATTTAGGATAGATCCTGACATCATTTCTTTGTATTATTAGTTAGCTCTTTATGTTTATACATATGTGTGTGTGTCCCTTCTTTTTATATGTCATCCATTTACTCAGGTCTTTAGTTTGTGTATTTGTCTGTCTTTTTGTGTGTCTTTTTGTTTGTTTGTATCTTTATTTGCTTGTATGTTTCTTATGTTAAGGGGGCCGCTTTAGCGCAGTTGTTAGGAGACTCGCTTTCAAATCCAGCTGCGGCCAGTGTTCAGAACCGGGCAGGGTTCCCAGGGTTTATCCAGCCTCTAGGTAATGGGTACGAGAGTTAAAACTCTAGGTTAAATGGAGGAACGTCGCTGTAGCTACAGAGTTGCGTACGGACAGCGTCACAGGCGGACAGTTTCTTATCAGCTGTCTGTACTGGAGGAAAAGAACTTATGGTTTTTAACTGTGTGCAGTGACGCTGGTTCACATCTCCCGACTTCACCTTTTATTACCCTTTTTTTCTTATGTTCCTGTCTTTCTTTTGTTCTTGTCTTTCCTTTGTTCATGTCTTTCTTACTTTCAGATAATTTTTTCTTCTTGTCTTCCTTTTGTTCATGTTTTCCTTTTGTTCATGTCTTGTGTTCCTATCTTATTTTGTTCTTGTCTTCCATACTTTCATATCCTTTTTTTGTTTGTTTATGTCTTCCTTATTTTCATGTCTTCCTTTTGTTCATGTTTTCCTTTTGTTCATGTCTTATGTTCATATCTTCCTTTTATTCCTGTCTTCCTTATTTTCATATCTTTTTGTTTTTTCAAGTCTTCCTTATTTTCATGTCTTCCTTTTGTTCACATGACTTCCTTGTGCTCACATCTCTATTCTTTGCTCATATATTTTCTGTTTGCTCATACATCTTTATTTTGTTCTAGGTGGTTGCTCCGACAATAGGCCACCCAGCTTGCCAGGAGCAGTTGATTGAAGCTGCCAAGTTGGTGGCCAGATCTGTGGAGGGAATCGTGGAGACCTCTCAGGCAGGATGTCGGGATGACTATCTCCTGCAGGATCTAGGTTCGGCTGCTACCGCTGTCACTAAAGCTCTCAATGATCTGCTTCTGCACATCAAAAAGGCAGCTCATCCTGCAAACGTGAGTTGGTTATGTGCATATGGTTTACATTGTTGCTTCTAAATGTTAGAAGGAACCCATGATACGGCTAGTATGTATATTTTTGAATATTGTATTCTGAATTCAGTCCTAAATTGTCGTAGAATTTTTTTCAGATCCATACAACTCTTAGAGTTAATGACATCATCATCATCATCATCATCATCATCAATGTATAGCAGGGGTGTTGCAATACTTTGTTCTTATCATGACACACGGGAATGCCACTCTGTCCTTTGCCACATTTCCTACCTCTAAACTATTTTGCCTAAAGTATTATTGATATCTGTATGCGTAATAATATAATACTATAATCTAAAACAGTGTTTCTCATACTGGGTGCTACTGGGAGGGGGATACAGGGGATAATATTTCCTCAGTCACATTTAAACAGTGCCAGGAAGGGGGGGGGGCCTCTTGGGGGCATTGAAAAATAAAAATAAAACAGCCGCTGCAAGAATGAAGGAGAGGAAGCATTTTGATATACCATTTGTCCCTGCTTCAGTGTCTTGTAGCAGATTACAATCATAGTGATTTTTTAATTTGTATGGGTTTCGGGGCCCTATTATGGGGAAAACAAGAATAGACCCACTGCCTACCCAAAAGCATGTTGTAAGAGTCGACTAATTCGGAGCTTCCTTTGAAGTCGGAGTGCATCTGCCTGAGAGGCAAGGAACCAACAGTCTGCATTGAACTGAATCAGATCTGTAAAACTAATGCACACGCAACACTCAGGTTCTGAAGCAGGACTGCAGTCTAAAAGTGGACGAACAACCAGAACTTTCCGCCAGAGGAAAAAGAAGATGAAGAAGAAGAAGAAATCAAAACAAATCAAAGTATTTTAGAACCAGACAGGAACGTCCTTTCCATGAAACACAGTGGGGATATTTTCAAGGAGATGGGGGCGCTGAGTGATTTTGTCACCGCAAATGTGCTGTAGGCCAAAACTTTGGAAACCTATCATCTAAATAGAGAAATATTTCCTCCCCCTCCCACACTTTAGATGTTTTAATTTTCTTCATAAGATGTTTAAATGCATGATGTACTTACACATAAGTGAGACTACTTGTTAACAACCACAGTGTCTTCTCTGCTGGAGAGAACCCTGTGTGTTTATTGCTTGTGAATTTGACTGTTTTCTCAGGCCAACGAGCAACACGAAGATGCAGTCGACACAATCATCAATGTCACTGACCGCTTGTTTAGTTCTACCGGAGATGCTCATGAAATGGTCAGACAGGCCAAGCAGTTAGCGCAGGTAGTTTTCAAATCAAGTTGATATCTGACATTAGATTGTTGGCCGGTTAAATGAATGTTTGCCATTTGATTGTTGATTTGTCAAGTGAAGGCCTGTCATTATATGGTTAGTTGCCTAAGTGAATGCCTGATATTAAATTGTTGGTTGGTGGTGCAGGGATATCGATCACAGGCATGAGAGAAAGTTAAGACGGTTGTGAAGTGTATAAGGAGTTACTTCATACCTCATCTCGGGCGCTAGCCGCTTCTTGTATGGTTTTACAGATCCTCACACAAGACTCCTGCCGCACATCCATGTCGTGCACCATGGATAAGGGCTCACCTTTGTGACCTGAACCGAGTTGGCAGGGGATCTTGGAGCTGGTAGCATCTAGAGATGTAGTGTCTAGCATGGCTTAAATCAGCCCACCCCCACCGCATTGGTGAAAATGTCCACCAAAGCTAATTCATAGGTAAAGTCTGCAGGCAGAAAATGCTACTCACAACCCTCGGTTTAAACGTCTGTAGAATGGGAAGAACTACTGTACTGCTGAGATTCAGCCCCAAAACAAAGATTTGCTTGTAGCCTAGCCGTTCGGTATCTCTTGCATGTAGTAAATCTTGAAACAGTCCTGTCTCTTAAAATCCCTTGCTGTTCCTCAGCGTCATCGTCACTTCGTTGAAGTACACCGCGACAAACTGTCATAGTGCTGGTTTGGCTCAAATGTCCATCTGATACAGAAACAAAGTCCAGAATGTTCAACCAAAAAATGTCCTACTAAGTGGCACAACGGCTCACATGCCTGTTACCACTGGCCCCACTCGCCAGCGTGTGGGACCCGAAAGGGGGAGCCATGCTGGATGCAGGCTTTTTCAGTACTGTCTTTGCTAAGTTTCCAGATGAAACAATGTTAAAGGTGTCTAATGTGCCAAAGAAAAATGTACCTATTTGTATGGCCATAGATGTCCTTGACCTGCTGGCTGCTCCCTGCTGATACCCGGTAGGTACAGCTCGTGACGATTAAAAAGTTCAACATACGGATGTGAGATTAAGTAGACAAATGCTGGACATGACGATTCCTTGGGTGAGCCCAGGACCAGAGCATCATGTGTTTGCTCTGCATTTATGGAACCTTCCTTGAATGTCAGGGAATGCCTGTGGTCTGCCCCTGCCTTCCCTTGAGGGCTGACATGTCTACAAGCAAAATGCCTTAGACGGGGTCTCCAGAGGCAAGACCTGTAGATAAAGGTAAAAAAACAAACACCACACAAATAAGGTCCACAGCATGTCCCTGTCCCACACAAAAATTGTCTGGGAAGTTAACTCAGTCAACAAATGCATGATGTGTCAGCCGAAAGGCGCACATATCACAGCTCTGCTGTAAACAGGCACAACACATTTACGTTACTTGGATGTAAATAAAAGAAAAAGATTGATGGTTGGCTAAGTGAATGTCTGGCATTAGATTGTTGGTTGATTTAAGAAAATGTTTATCATTAGATAGTTGGTTGGCTGAGTGAATATTTTCCATTAAAGGTTTCTGTTGGATTGGTTATTAAAGCGAATTAGATGTGCTGAAACATTAGATTGTTGGTTAAAGGAATGCCGAAATTAGATTATGTTTGTGTCTGACATTAGATATTGCTTGTTGGTTGGTTAAGTGAATGCCTGACATTAGATTATTGCTTGATTAAAGGAATGTCTGACATTAGATTATTGCTTGATTAAAGGAATGCCTGACATTAGATTATTGCTTGATTAAAGGAATGTCTGACATTAGATTATTGCTTGATTAAAGGAATGCCTGACATTAGATTAATTTGATTAAAAGGAATGCCTGACATTAGATTATTGCTTGATTAAAAGAAAATGAACATGTTTTGATTTTTGCTTGATTAAAGAAATGCCTGAGATTATTGCACTGATTAAAGGAATTTCTGACATTAGATTAGCTGATTAAAGTGCTGACATATCCGATGGCCAGGCTGATTAAAGACCACACATTACTTATTGCTGAGACACAGAAGATTATTGCTTGATGTTGACATTAGATTGTTAGCAAGTACCTTTTGAAAGCAAATGAACATGTTTGATGGCTGATGCAATCAGCTAAGACCACACTGACTTGAAGAAGCGGCTGCAAAAGGTTGGCGATGCATCGAGCGGCTAAAGGTTGCTGTTACTGTTCACTTTCGTATGTGAGCTCCGGGACATAAAGAATGGACCAAGTGCTCCTTAACAAGCATGTGGTAAAAAGGGACTAATTTAGGATTTACTAAAATTGAATGTGTTTTGCTGAAGGATGCAGAATTTTACACCCTAGCTGAGATTTCGAACAACGGATCGACATCATGGCACACGGGTAGTAACCCATAAGTACTCCGTTCTTCTTCTAACTAAAGTCTGAGTCCGAAGAAGCTCATCGCAGTGCACAGCCTCTATAGCACCGGCGAGGATCCTGAAATACTTTGGGTAGATTTTTAACTCTAAATTTTTCCGCGGGCAGCGCCATTAGACTACTCTTTTCCATTTCCAACACTGCACACAAGCATCTGATCTTTACTACCCAGAGACCATGGAAAATCATTAAAGTCCAAGTCCATGTGAAAATATCCCAGCCCTTGCCGGGGATTGAACCCGGAACCTCTATCACTCGAGGCAGACACCATGCCCCGCGGACCATGCAGCCTCCTAGCTGTAAACCACAACAAAATGTGCCAGGTGCCTTTTTCAAGGGGACTGTTGAAGAAGAAACAAACTGTTCACTTAGCTCACCTTGCTATAGGACTGTATACAAGAGAAGAGGAAGTGAGGCAGGTCAAGAAGGACTTGCATCCATAATCTGGTGAACTGGATCAGTCTCAAGTCAGGCAACTGTAATTCTGTGACCGGGAGCCGCCATGGTGTAGCGGCCAGTTGCTCTCTCGCAGATCAGAAGGTAGTGGGTTCAGGTCTTGATGGAGCCGGACCTTGGCTCCCAAGTTGACCCAACAGTGAGTGGGTACCTCATTCTCCTGCGTCTCAGGATAGGACATAACAAACTTAATCAGCATATGCACAGGCTTCATCTAAGTAGTTCACCTTTGTGGGCTGTGTGTGCAGACTACAGAACATGTCCTGCAAGACTGTCCCTTGTTCAGCCCATTAAGAAAGGAATAATGGCCCAGTGAGTCACCACTGTACACAAAGTTGTATGGGACTAAAAAAAAACAGTCAAGTTTATCACAAGAACCTGTCTGTTGGTGTAAATCAGAAAGCAAACACAAGATGAAGAAGAAGAAGTTGGTACCAGGTACAGTCCTGGCAGCCGGCATAGTGATAACCAAATCACCCACCAAGTGCCAGTTGGTCTGTAAAATATAAGTCTAGCCCTATATGCCCAATGTGCCTGAAGGCATGGAAAAGCTCCTTTACTTTATTATTATTATTATTTTCAATTCCGTGACCCAGTGACACCCAATGTTATTTGACTATAAATAGACTGATTTACCTAAATGATTTCTCCTGTTTTTTGTTGTTGTTTTTTTTTTTTTTAAATGATGCGTAGAAAATTAATCTTTAGAGAGCTTTTTGAGAGCTGAGTGACCTATAAAAATATGAGCCCAGCTATATATTCAAATGCATGTAAAGGAACCTTTCCTTTTTTTTAAATGTACTTATTATATTTAATTTTATCCAACAATCAAGTGTTCTTGATTCTGCTTTCATTGACATTTCCTTTTGCACAATCCAAATCATACTCTTCTTCTTTCTGTTCTGCTGCCACTGGCTCTTTCAGAAAAGAAGGCCAGGGTTATCTTGCAGTGCCTGTCCTCCAATGATCCATTCAACTTGATTTCCACCGGAATGCCATATAGCCAGACTTGGGATCTTTCTACCGTTTGTAGACAGCATATCTATAGCCCCTTCAGTATTCTGGGATGCCTGTCCACATGGACAAAGTTCTGAGTCCCAGGTCTTGAATTTCTTGTACATTTAGCAGTGGAGTGTTGTGTCCAATGTGCAGTCTAAATACAATTGTCTGCTGCTTTTGTGTGAGGATGTTGATTGGGTCTTCAGGATTATGTTCTTGATGGTAGATGTCCCAGTGGGCTCTAATGGCTGCACAGATTTTTGCTTTTTTTTCCTTATAAGTGCATCCTGCATGTGGCTGTTCTGTTTTGCTGCCATTTTATACTTAGTAGCCTGCCTTTTCATTTTGCACAGCCCAAATGACTCTGATCAGCAGCAGATGCTAAGAATAGCGGCTGAGGAGTTGAGGTCAGCTACTAACATAGCTGCCAGCAATGCTCTGAAGAGACGGCTAATGACTCGCCTGGAGGTAATTTATTTGAATAGTTTATAGGGGTAATTTTTTTAATTTAATCTTTGATATTCTCTGCTTTACCATCTGTGTTAATAGTGTAAACATTCCTTGTCCTAACTTTATCTCAGAACTTTCTTGTCTGTCTTAACTTTATCTCAAAACTTTCTTGTCTGTCTTAACTTTATCTTAGAACTTCCTTGTCTTAACTTTATCTTAGAACTTCCTTGTCTGTCTTAACTTTATCTTAGAACTTCCTTGTCTGTCTTAACTTTATCTTAGAATTTCCTGGTTTTAATTTTATCTTAGGACCTTTTTTTTTTGCTAATGTTAGTTGTTAGTGCCTTGTCTTAACTTTAGTTTTAACTAGGGACCTCTTTGCTCCAACATTAACTTTAGTTATTACTTCCTAGGCGGCGTCCGTGGCTAAGGCGTTGCGAGTCTGACTCGTAAACCAGCATACCGCGATCGAAACTGCAGGCTGCGTTTTTTTCGTGGTATGGGATGTAAAATGGGTAGTGGGCTGTCCTGGGAAAGTAAAGACAGCCGGCGTTGTGACTTACCCACAGAGTGCTGATGTTTGTAAAAATATGGGACGCTCTGCCCTTGCCCGATGCTCCAAAGGCATTAAAGGGAACTTTACTTTTTTTTTATTACTTCCTAGTCTCAATTTTAACTTAGGACTTCCTTGTCTTTATTTCAGCACAGGACTTCTTTGTCATAACATTAACTTTAGTTATTACTTCCAAATCTTAACTTTTAACTTCAACTCAAGACTTTCTTGTCATTACTTCAACTTAGGACTTCTTTTTCACAACACTAACTTTGGTTATTACTGTCCTTAACTTTAAGTCTTACTAAACTTTAATTTCCTAGTTTAGGAACTTTACTTACTTCAATCATTCCTTGTCCTAACATTACTTTTAGTTATTATTTCACTAGTTGTTATTTGTTAACTTTAGTTTAGAACTTCCTTGTTTTAACTTCAAATTAAGAACTCCTTGTATGGCTTCCACTCCTTTTTTTCATTAAAGCTTTAGTCAGGCTAAATACATCAACATTACTTTAGTGATCATAACTCTAACTTATACCATTACTTATCCATAACATAACTTTCACCAGTATGAATAAACACTACTGTTCTGTTACAGTTTTAAATCCAATTCCAAGCGAAAAAACATTACCCCAAACAAACACAACCGTTCCTTGTGTCACTCTACCTGTTTGTCCAGTCCCCGTGTAACCTCCCCATCACCTGTTCGCCGTGTCTACACACAAGCCGTTGACCAAATTGACCTGTCTGTTGTTATGAGTCAGTCTAGTCGTTGTTTGTCTTTATCTCACAGTGTGTGGTAAAGTTGACTCATGACAGTTATCACTTCTTTGTCATAACTCTAACTTAGGATTACTTATCCTAACATTAACTTTAATTATTACTTCCTTGTCTAAATTATACTTCCTTGTCTGAATTACAACTTACCTATCCTAACATTAACTTGAGTTAATACTTCCCTGTCCTAAATTTACCTTTGACTTAAGATTTTCTTGTTATTTAACTTTAATTATTGCTTCCTTGTTTTAATTTTAACTTTGACTTAGGACTTCCTTTCTTAGCTTTAACTTAAAATTTTCTTGTCCTAACATTAACTTAAGTTATTATTTCCTTGTCTTTACTATAATTTTAACTTAGGACTTTCTTATATTAACATTAACTTTAGTTATTACTTCCTTGACTTAACATCTTTGACTTAGGACTTCCTTATCTTAACATTAACTTTAGTTATTACTTCATTGTCTTAACTTTAACTTTGACTTAAGAATTCCATATCCTAACTCTAACCTTAATTTAGAACTTCTGTGTCATCTCTGACCTTAACTTAGGACTTCAGTATCTTAACTTCAAGTGTTGTCTGTTACATCCTCTGCCCATCTCTGTCATCTGTCTCTCTTTTTAGTCTTTGCACACACAAATGCATGTCCACGCACACATAGAGTGAGAGAGAGAGAAAGAGAGAGAGAGAGAAAGAGAGAGAGAGAGAAGAGAGAGCAGTTGGTGGTAGAGAAAAAGAGAACTATACATGATCATTCATTAGCAAGTTGCTAACAGAACATCACTTTCATCACAGCACGCCTGTAAGTCTCTCCTTTGCCAGTTTCTCCAGCCCTGTGTGCTTCCATAGACAATGCATCTTCAATTTGGAGGTCGGATCATTATTGATTTTAATATATGGTTGCTGTGATGTATTTGCTGCGGACATTATTTTATTTTTGGGGTCGGGGGAGGGGGGAAATCAGATATAGATTAATGTCTTCAAATTGCTTTTTGATGGTCATGATTTTATAAAACGTGCACTGTAAGTATAGACAGGTGTAGATAGATATTTGAACAATATTATTCCTTTATTTATAATTTTCAGACAGCGGCCAACCAGGCAGCTACAGCAGCGACCCAACTGATCAATGCCTCTAATCAAGCATATAAAACCAACCTCAATCCACAGTCCAACCAGCAGATGGCTTCCGCAGCAACGGTAACCACATTGTGCCAGTTTTCTTCATGTGTCAGTTTAATGATGCTTGCTGCTTTCAATAATGCTAGATTCTGTCCTGGCTTCCATTCAAGGGTTTCCTCATTCTAGCTAGCATTTCTGTTTCATGTGACCTTGTCGCACACATGCACAGCTACCAACTTGGGAATAGTCACAACTATCTACAATTAACAGCGCAGAACGGCCATCAGGTTCTGATGTAAATTCTGCCAGTTTATTCCTCCTGATTCTTTCACTTGATTCAGTTATAGTTTATTTAATCATAGCCATCGCTGCTCGCTTCCTTCCACCCTAATCCTATAATCATTTACACAGCGTTTAATACACTGTGGTTAAACTACATCACAACCATTTTCCTCGAACTCTGGTATTCAACTGACCATGTGCCAACCTAGGATTTTTTCCTCATTCATCTCTCCAGCCCCGAGTCTCCCGTACTGTGGTCTCTTGCATCGGTTTCCTGTTCGGCTTGCTGTGACCTTGGATACCATGCAAAGCACGGCCATCACCATCAGCATATCTCTTTAACAGAGTAACCTTAGAGTATTGTTGTGAGTGACCTAGTATGGTATCATTAGAGAGTAGATAAATGTACTACACTAAAATAAATAACAATATTCAATCATGTTTCTATATCAGGGTCTGGACCAGCAAATCCCAACTCTTGTGCAAACCCTGCGCACCGTTCAGCGCCGCCCAGACAGTGCAACAGCACAGCTAGCCCTGATCAATGCTGCTCAGGACTTCATTCAACCCGCCAGCCGACTGATTTCAGCTTCCACTGCTGCGGCTCCTACTGTTTCAGATCAGTCCGCCGCTCTTAACCTGCACAATGCTGCCAAGAACATGTCCAATGCTGTGGCAGAACTGAGATTAGCTGCCAGTAGGGTGAGTGTGAGCATTGTTTGATTTGTGTTTGGAAATCGATAAAAGACGAGTAAATATTTGCTTTGTTGAAATGCCTTAATGAAAATAGAATTACGGAAATAAATAAAAAAAGGAGCAGTTTAAATATTTTGGCTGCATTACAAGACATAATCATTTTTAAACAACATACTGGAGGGAAAGGTCGAAGACAAGAGAGCAAGAGGTAGGCAACAATACAAGTGGGAGGACAGCAATAAGAAATGGACTGGCAACAGTCTGAGAGAGTGTACAACCAGGACAAGAGATAGAACATGCTGGAGATCCATTGCAGCCAACCTTAATTGTGGAGACAGTACATGATTGATTGATGAGTTAAGAACCATCACAGCACCAAGGTGAATACAACAGATCAACATCATGGCATAAGGGTAGTAATCCATTCTTCTAACTCAAGCTTGAGTCTGAAGAATCTCAGCAAGGTGCACAAACTTCCTAGCAGCAGCGAAGATCCTGAAGTACTTTGGGTACATTTTTAGTTCCAGATTTTGTTCTGGTAGCACCGTTAGGCTGCTCTTTTCGAATTCCAACTGCCAGCAATTCATATGGGCATCCGATCTCACTACCCAGAGACCAGGGGAAATTACTAGAAGTCCATGAGAAAAAAATCCCAGTTTTCACCGGGGCCTGAACCCGGAACCTCCACCACTCTGGGCGGACGCTGTGCCTTGAGACCGCTCTCTGCATGCAGTATTCAGATTCCTGGTCTGGCCAGTTAGCAGTTCAGTGGAAACCAAGCTGCATGGACATGTGACCCACCACAACCTTCACAGAAGCTGGTGGCCTTCTGATCTGAAAACTATTGGCAGGAAGGACAAAAACAAATTTAACTTCTGCTTTATTAAAATATATTTGTACTGATATCTGAAAATGTTTGAAAAAAAAAAGAAGACTTGTATTTTAGCAGTAAGTGAAAATTTACATATTCTGATTGTAAAGTGAAATGCTTAGTATGTCTGATATATCTGTGAAACATTAAGGGTGAAACATTATGTCTTCTGAATTTATAATGTGAAATGTTAAGTATAACTCATTTGTTTGTAATGTGAAATGTTTATAACATATATATATTTATAACATGAAGTGTTCTGTTTACCCGCAGGCTCAAGAAGCGTGCACATTTCTGGAGATCGACAGTGCCCTTGATCAGCTGGCGGATCTGGACCAGGACCTGACTGACATCAAGCATGCAGCTCTGACAGGCCGACTGACACGACTTCCTGGGGAAACAGTGAGTACTGTAGTTGTCATTGTCAAACATGAGCATCTGACATTAGCAGCCCTGACAGGCCGACTGACACGACTTCCTGGGGAAACAGTGAGTACTGTAGTTGTCGTTGTCAAACATGAGCATCTGACATTAGCAGCCCTGACAGGCCGACTGACACGACTTCCTGGGGAAAATGAGCAGTGAGTACTGTAGTTGTCGTTGTCAAACATGAGCATCTGACATTAGCAGCCCTGACAGGCCGACTGACACGACTTCCTGGGGAAACAGTGAGTACTGTAGTTGTCGTTGTCAAACATGAGCATCTGACATTAGCAGCCCTGACAGGCCGACTGACACGACTTCCTGGGGAAACAGTGAGTACTGTAGTTGTCGTTGTCAAACATGAGCATCTGACATTAGCAAACATGCAGCCCTGACAGGCCGACTGACACGACTTTCAGTCTGCCAGAAACAAACAGTCTCTCGCCAGTTCTCCCGCCTCATGCACTTTCATACTCAAGGAGTCACTTATATCCTGTGCCCATCTTCATGTCAGTCGGCCCCTGCCCCTTCTTCCTGGTACCATTCCTTCTGCTATAATTTTTTCCAATCCGTCGTGGTGCTTGATATGACCAAAATATTTCAGATTTTGAGAAAGGATGCTGTTTTTTAGCCAATCTTCCCTGATGTTCAGATCTTTTAAGATATCAATATTTCTCATCTTCTTTGTCCAAGATATTCTGAGAATCTTTCTTTAGCATTTCAGCTCCAAAGCCCCTATTCTCTTTCTTAAGGACTGAGAGATAGTCCACGACTCACATCCGTATGTAGCCACAGGGAAGATGCATGCTCTCAAAATTCTAATTTTTATCTCCTTTATATCCTTTTTAACTCTTCAACACAGTACAAAAAGGAATTCCTTGGACAGCCATATAGAGCAACCCAGATGCTTTGAAAAAAGCGAGGACTAGAAGACACTTATCACAAACATCTGAATCAACACGTCATATTATGAGAAGAAGGAAACTGTAGTATGTTGTGACAACTGGAAAGATCTGCGAAAAAAGAGGCAGGAAGACAAAATATGTAGAAAAAGAGACAGAGGAAGACGATGCCAGATGATTCTCAACAACCTTTTGTCATGTCACAGGAACTAATGCATGCTGTTGAAAATCACAGAATTTGGAGAGGTATGATCACCCACGCGGCGAAACCCATATTGATGATATGATGACAGATAGCAAAGATATTTTACCTTATTGTGTGTCTTGGCATTATTTAATATTTATTATTTTTCTTATTCTTATGTTCTGAATTCCTGTTCTCCTTACAGGCGGAACAGTGTTCATCGCAACTGGGAACCATTTCCAAGACCGTTGGAGCATCTTTGGCCCAGCTACTGACAGCTGCTGCACAGGTTGGTGTAACTGAACTTTGAACCACTGGTTGCCAGGCTTATTGCTGATTGTAAATCTATATTGTTAGTGAAATTTATACATGCAGGTAATGTTGCTTTTTTCTTAAGGAAGTTAAAATTAACATCGTTATTGTTAGTGAAGTTTACATAATTGGCACATTTCGCTGTGTGGCGTTGGTAGTCATGTATTCACAGCCTTCTGACTCATGTACTTTCAGTCAACTCAGACACAGTTGATCCTCCATGCCATGATGTCAAACTGTCAAGCATCTTTTCTTTCATTCTCCCTCTGCCTCTCCTCCCCTCCAACTTTTCTACTATCATGATGTGCTCCAGTTGTCTCCTTCTCATCACATGTACGAAGAATGTAGATTGTCTCTTTCTGATGTGGGCAATCAGTTTTCTTCGTACATTGGTATCTTTCAAGACATCCTCATTGCCTTTTTTTTATCCATCCAGGGTATTCTCATCATTCGTCTATAATGACACATTTTGGTGCTTTATTAATATACTACCCCAGATGATGTCACAGGACAGTTCAACATTTTAGATGGTGGTAAGACCAGGTTTCCTGGCTGTCTGATTCGTTTAATGACCCCCAAAACATCTAGAACTGGCTCTAACCCCAACCTACCTATGTCTCGCGTAAGTGTGCTGCCTAGGTCCCACGACTGCATGCAGCCTAGGTCCCACGACTGCATGCAACCTAGGTCCCACGACTGCATGCAGCCCCTTAAATATTAGACTGTCCTGTGACCTGTGAATTTCACCTGTTTGGGGTAGGATATTATTAAAGCACCCACATTTCAGCCACTCTATTTCCCCACGTAAGACACACTTACTTTCCCAAAATATAGGGTCTAGAAAACAGTGGTTGTAGCTGTTAATGAAATCATGTTACTTATGCCCACATTTCTGGTCCAAAAATCAAGGTGCATCTTATACATGAGATCCTCTTATACTTGCGAAAATATGGTAAACTTTTTCCCCCTAAACAAATCTTGTACATTTCAGGGCAATGAGGATTATGTTGGTATTGCAGCCCGGGACACGGTCAATGCCCTGAAAATTATGGTCAGTTCTGTCCGGGGTGTTGCAGCAACAACTGATGATAAACAGGTAGGTTATTTGTCTGTCATGTGTCATTTAAATGAAGGCACCTGCATACACACTAAACTGAGTACCAGACAGATTCATATTAATTTGTTCTGTACAAAACAGTTGTTACTTGTTCCCCTGTGTGGGTTCCGGGGCCCTGTTGTGGAGGAAAACAAGAATAGACCCACTGCTTGATCAAAAGCATGTTGTAAGAGTCGACTAATTGGGAGCTTCCTTCAAAGTCGGAGTACATCTGCCTGAAAGGCAAGAAACCAGCAGTCTGCATGCAAATGAGTCAGACCTGTAAAGTTGTTGTACATGCAACACCCAAGTTCTGGAACAGGACTAGAGTTCAGAAGTGGACGAACAACCAGAACTTTTTGCCGGAGTTTACCGCCGGTGAACGCAAAGAAGAAGAAAAAGAATTTGTTACTTGAAACAGTTATGTCTAAGTGAGTTCAGATAAGAACCACATTGAATAGAATTATTTGAAATAACTATAGTAATTGATCGGTTTTTCCCTTTTGCCAAGAGAAAGCTAAAAAAATAAAACAGGACATGAACCAGTGGGAATTCCCAGAAATCAAGCCTTGAAAACCAACCATTTTAACTGGTCAGTAAAAAATAGTTTTAAAAATTGATTTTTCGACATTTTTAATTTTTTTGAAGTATAAAAAGATGTAGTTACAAATATAAATGTGAAAATTATAGAGGAATATCACTATTGTCTGCAAGCTATAAGATACTATCATCTGGCCTCATTTCTATCACTCTGATTCTTTTATCAAAGCCACTTTTGGTTTAATGTTACTTTCAGGCCCAGCAAGAAATCATAGATAATGCAAAGGAGGTGATCAGACAGTCTATCCGTCTGCTGGAGGAAGCCAAGTATGCCATGGATGATCCCAGGAACCCAGACAATCAGCAAAGACTATCACAGGTATGTGCAGCGTTGTCGATAGTACCGGAGGACTGATCAATGTGGTCACTTTTACCTGAACGTGTCTGTCAATTTGTGGTGTTTACAAGTTTCATTCTGTTCAAATTTTTAATTTTTTATTTTAATAACAAGGAGAGTAGTACAGTCGAACATATTACAGTTGTAATAGACTGATAGAGCATGGTCTTCATAAAATAGAGACTGGTTTCCTATGCAAAAAGTGGCTCGCTTAACTTAATAAGATTAAGATCAGGTACATATCATGCATTTTCTGCCTAGGATATTATGGTGTGCGTGGTAATTAGCAGGCAGATAAATTAGCGGCTGCTGATGCTCAGGGCAGTGAGCTGCTCTGTGATTAAGTGGACATAGTGAAGGCACTCTGGGGTCAAGTGGACAGTGTGATGGAACAGGGAGAGTACCCACACCTCACAAAGCCTGTTCAGAGAGCAGTACTCAGAGGGGCTGGATGGTTTTCAGCATATAAGGAAAGAATAGGCAGACTTTCAATAGTGTTTCAACTTGCACCATCAGTATGGGAACTCTTTGCTGCCTGAAAACAGAGCACATGTTGGAATACCCCAAGTGCAGTGATGTTCATTCTTGATTGATTGATTGATTTATTCTTTTTGCAACCACTAAAGAAAAATTAATTCAAGCGTTTCAGAAACGTTATTATAATACTGTGGATCTTAACCAGCATTTAAGAACTAAACATAAAAGAAAACTGGCTAATAAACTGTCTCAGAAACAGAGATAGTTTGACCTTATTAACCCCTTTTGCCCCAGTGACCTAGAAAAAACAATTCCTGAAAAATATTTCTCAAAACAGAAAAAAATGTTCAATCTGACCTATTCTTGACCCAATTACCTGGCCACCAGTTACCATTGTATCTAATGGGAAATTATGATGTCCTAATTCCTATGTATAAAGCCATTTTCTACAAGGAAAATTCAGAAGCAGATCTGAGCGATGGTGGATATAAGGCTTTGAAGATGCATTTAGATATTAAAGCACCAAGGGTTGGAGAATTGGCTAGAGAAAGACTTTCAGATGTGCTGTGACAAGAGCAACATTCTGAGAGACTTTCAAGTGTGCTGTGACTAAAGCAATATCCTGAGAGACTTTCAAGTGTGCTGTGACTAGAGCAATATTCTAAGAGACTTTCAAGTGTGCTGTGACTAGAGCAATATTCTAAGAGACTTTCAAGTGTGCTGTGACTAAAGCAATATTCTAAGAGACTTTCAAGTGTGCTGTGACTAGAGCAATATCCTGAGAGACTTTCAAGTGTGCTGTGACTAGAGCAATATTCTAAGAGACTTTCAAGTGTGCTGTGACTAGAGCAATATTCTGAGAGACTTTCAAGTGTGCTGTGACTAGAGCAATATCCTGAGAGACTTTCAAGTGTGCTGTGACTAGAGCAATATTCTGAGAGACTTTCAAGTGTGCTGTGACTAGAGCAATATTCTGAGAGACTTTCAGGCATGCTGTGACTAGAGCAATATCCTGAGAGACTTTCAGGCATGCTGTGACTAGAGCAATATTCTGAGAGACTTTCAGGCATGCTGTGACTAGAGCAATATCCTGAGAGACTTTCAAGTGTGCTGTGACAAGAGCAACATTCTGAGAGACTTTCAAGTGTGCTGTGACTAGAGCAATATCCTGAGAGACTTTCAAGTGTGCTGTGACTAGAGCAATATTCTGAGAGACTTTCAAGTGTGCTGTGACAAGAGCAACATTCTGAGAGACTTTCAAGTGTGCTGTGACTAGAGCAATATCCTGAGAGACTTTCAAGTGTGCTGTGACTAGAGCAATATTCTGAGAGACTTTCAAGTGTGCTGTGACTAGAGCAATATCCTGAGAGACTTTCAAGTGTGCTGTGACTAGAGCAATATTCTGAGAGACTTTCAAGTGTGCTGTGACTAGAGCAATATTCTGAGAGACTTTCAAGTGTGCTGTGACAAGAGCAACATTCTGAGAGACTTTCAAGTGTGCTGTGACTAGAGCAATATTCTGAGAGACTTTCAAGTGTGCTGTGACAAGAGCAACATTCTGAGAGACTTTCAAGTGTGCTGTGACAAGAGCAACATTCTGAGAGACTTTCAAGTGTGCTGTGACTAGAGCAATATTCTGAGAGACTTTCAAGTGTGCTGTGACTAGAGCAATATTCTGAGAGACTTTCAAGTGTGCTGTGACAAGAGCAACATTCTGAGAGACTTTTAGGCATGCTGTGATGAGAGCAACATTCTGAGAGACTTTCAGACATGCTGTGATGAGAGCAACATTCTGAGAGACTTTCAGACATGCTGTGATGAGAGCAACATTCTGAGAGACTTTCAGACATGCTGTGATGAGAGCAACATTCTGAGATACTTTCAGACATGCTGTAACAAGAGCAACATTTTGAGAGACTTTCAGACATGCTGTGATGAGAGCAACATTCTGAGAGACTTCCAGACATGCTGTGACTAGAGCAATATTCTGAGAGACTTTCAGACGTGCTGTGACAAGAGCAACATTCTGAGAGACTTCCAGACATGCTGTGATGAGAGCAACATTTTGAGAGACTTCCAGACATGCTGTGATGAGAGCAACATTCTGAGAGACTTCCAGACGTGCTGTGACAAGAGCTACGTTTTGAGAGACTTTCAGACGTGCTGTGACGAGAGCAACATTCTAAGAGACTTTCAGACATGCTGTGACGAGAGCAACATTCTGAGAGACTTTCAGACATGCTGTGACAAGAGCAACATTTTGAGAAACTTTCAGACATGTTGTGATGAGAGCAACATTCTGAGAGACTTTCAGACATGCTGTGACAAGAGCAACATTCTGAGAGACTTTCAGACATGCTGTGATGAGAGCAACATTCTGAGAGACTTTCAGACATGCTGTGACAAGAGCAACATTCTGAGAGATTTTCAGACATGCTGTGACAAGAGCAACATTCTGAGAGATTTTCAGACATGCTGTAACAAGAGCAACATTCTGAGAGACTTTCAGACATGCTGTGATGAGAGCAACATTCTGAGAGACTTTCAGACATGCTGTGACAAGAGCAACATTCTGAGAGACTTTCAGACATGCTGTGACAAGAGCAACATTCTGAGAGATTTTCAGACATGCTGTGATGAGAGCAACATTCTGAGAGACTTTCAGACATGCTGTGATGAGAGCAACATTCTGAGAGACTTCCAGATGTGCTGTGATGAGAGCAACATTCTGAGAGACTTTCAGACATGCTGTGATGAGAGCAACATTCTGAGAGACTTTCAGACGTGCTGTTATGAGAGCAACATTCTGAGAGACTTTCAGACATGCTGTGACAAGAGCAACATTCTGAGAGATTTTCAGACATGCTGTGATGAGAGCAACATTCTGAGAGACTTTCAGACATGCTGTGATGAGAGCAACATTCTGAGAGACTTTCAGACGTGCTGTGATGGGAGCAACATTCTGAGAGACTTTCAGACGTGCTGTGATGAGAGCAACATTCTGAGAGACTTTCAGACATGCTGTGACAAGAGTAACATTCTGAGAGATTTTCAGACATGCTGTGATGAGAGCAACATTCTGAGAGACTTTCAGACATGCTGTGATGAGAGCAACATTCTGAGAGACTTTCAGACGTGCTGTGATGGGAGCAACATTCTGAGAGACTTTCAGACGTGCTGTGATGAGAGCAACATTCTGAGAGACTTTCAGACATGCTGTGATGAGAGCAACATTCTGAGAGACTTTCAGACATGCTGTGACGAGAGCCCCATTCTATAAATCCATGCTGACTGATGTTGATGATGATGATCAACCTTTTGTGTTTGCAGGTTGCCAAATCTATTTCACATGCCCTGAACAACTGCATCAGCTGCCTGCCTGGACAGAGGGACATAGACAATGCAATCAGACTTATCACTCAGATCTCACAGAGTCTGACCAATCCTAGGGTAAGTGTCAGGAGTTTTCTTCACCTTCTTCTGTCCTTTACCCACTATTTGAGCTCATTTCCTCAAGCTTCTTCTTTTTCTTTTTCATATTCACAGGCTGTCAACTCCGGCAGAAAGTTCTGGTTGTTCATCAGCTTCTGGACTGTTCCAGAACCTGTGTTTTGCGTGCACTTCTTTTTCTCAAATCTGTCTTATTTGTGTGCAGTCTGTTGGTTCCTCGCCTCTCAAGCAGAGGCACGCCAATGCCGAAAGAAACATCCATATTTATTTCTGCTCTTAGGACATGCTTATTGGCAGTGGGTCTATCCCTCCCCTGACCCTTCCCCTATCCACACTGGAGCCCCAGAATCCACACGAGGATACCTCTAACTCACACTGAAGCACTGCTAGATTATAGGACCTCAGCCAGCTCATGCCCAGCCAGCTTGTCCTTTACATATTGTGAAGCTCCTTCGATGTTCTAAACATATCATCTATCTCTGTCTTTAATTATTTTACCTGCAGGCTCTTTGGCTTGACTCTCCTTTACCCTGTGGGTTCACTGATAGGACATTCAAGTGATGCTGTTGTAGTTATTCTCAGTATGTTCCCACATTTCTATTCCTCACATCTTGGTTCACTCAGATTAGTTTAATCCTCCCCCATAAAGCTCCACAGGTGAGCTTTTTGTTGTCTTTTTCTACTGTTAGAAAGAAAAAGAAACAAAAGAAACCCATAGCTATCCATTGGCATGTTTTTATTGGTTGACAGGAAAGCCTGTACACCTAAAAGTTGTTAAAGGCCTAGGTGCAGAATAACTGTCAGTTGATTGGTTGAACCCTAAGAATACCAAATGACATATTGGCGTGGGTTCTAAGAGATGCCAGATAACATAAAGGTGATTGGTTGAACCCTAAGAATACCAAATGACATATTGGCGTAGGGTTCTAAGAGATGCCAGATAACATAAAGGTGATTGGCTGAACCCTAAGAATACCAAATGACATATATGGCGTAGGGTTCTAAGAGATGCCAGATAACATAAAGGTGATTGGCTGGCTCAGAAATTAAGTAAAAAAAAAAAGATCTATTTTGCACGCTCTCAAGTATATATGATGTGTAGGTCTAGACGTATAGATTTTATAAACCAATCAGCACTCAGGGGTTGATGTGTGGTCAACATCACGCCAGCTGCCTTTATTTCCCAGAACTTTTGCCTGGATGGATTGACCTGTGCCTGGATTGACCTGGAAGCCAATATTTAAAAAAAAAAAAAATTTGCTTGATGTAGCTTTGAACCCATGACCTTCAGTCATGCAGGCGAGCGTCTAGCTGCTACACTATTGTGGCTGCCACTGCCTCAGAAGTGTGGGGCAGACAAGTAAATTTGCAACCCTCCTCCCTTTCTGTCTGTTAAAATGCAATTTGTATGCTGTTTTCAACAGTTCCCGCCCACAGACCGGTCCTATCAGGATGTTCAGAATGACATGAGCAATTCTGCAGCCAACTTGAACCAGGCCGCCAGTGATGTGGTAGGGTCCAGCAGAGTGTCCACCCAACACCTGGCACAGTCATCCACTAGATACAGGTGAGAGAGCTGACATATGCTGTCTGCTCATGTATGGTGATATTTCTCAGCATTTTGGGAGCAAATAACTGTCTTTTTCTGAATTTTCTCTTTCTAGCTACTAAGTTGAGTGCACAGTGCGACTCTATGAGCTACAGATTTTATTTGAAATGTATTTTGACTGTTTATGAACTATAGATTCAGAAAATGGAGAGTGGCCTGTTGCTACAGAATTGCTGGTGCCTTATGTGATTAAAATTGATTGCGTGTGCAACTACTGATCTGTAACTGCTACTTTCTTTGATGATGAACTGCTTTTCTAATGTCACACTATTTGTGTTAGCACTTCTGTTGGCTGCCTTATGCTTTTAATGCCTCTGTATGCTAGTGGATCTACTGAGACTGCGGTCTGTGTAGATTTTTCCCACAACGGGATGTGATGGACATTCTGTATGTTTTTTCTTGGCACAGGAGTGGAGCAACTATGGGGTGACCCATTTGCTATGAAGCTGAAACTGACATTAATAGACTACCAGGGTAGTTTAGGAATGGGCGGTAGAGTACCTGAGCCTGAGGCTCTCTAAGGTCACATGGCTAGTGCAGTCACCACAGACTGGGCAGGTTAGGATTGTATTTTTGCCCCATAGAAAAAAATCCATTGCCTTACCGAGGGTTCAAAACTGGGTCTCCTAAATAAAAGCCTAATGTTCTTAATCATTTGCGCACACCACAGATGTTGATTTTTCTGTTCTGTTGGGGAATGATTTCGAAGTATCATGATGATGTCTCTCTCTCTGTCTCTCTCTGTCTCTCTCTCTCTCTCTCTCTCTCTCTCTCTCTCTCTCTCTCTCTCTCTCTCTCTCTCTCTCTCTCTCTCTCTCTCTCTCTCTCTCTCTCTCTCTCTCTCTCTCTCTCTCTCTCTCTCTCTCTCTCTCTCTCTCTCTGATTCTCTCCCCATGGTTCTATCCCCCCTACCTTAAAAACTACAGTTACCAAATTGGTGAAATACATGCATTGTTTTCTGGTTCTAGTCCTGTTTGTACTACACACATTAAAAATCTCATGCTGTCTGTCTGCCTGCTTGTATATCTTCTCTCTCTCTGCCTCTCTCTGTGCCTTTCTCTCTCTCTCTATTTCTCTTTCTCTCTCTCTCTCTCTCTCTCTCTCTCTCTCTCTCTCTCTCTCTCTCTCTCTCTCTCTCTCTCTCTCTCTCTCTCTCTCTCTCTCTCTCTCTCTCTCTCTCTCTCTCTCTCTCTCTCTCTCTCTCTCTCTCTCTCTCTCTCATCTCTGTGTCTTTCTCTCTTTTTATATGCACATATTTACAGATTTACACATGTTTACATTCAAAACTATTGTATCTATTTTTCTGGCAGCGAACATTATGAAGAGTTTGTACACACAGGCCTGACACTGGCTGGACTGTCCAGAGACCAGGAGAACCAAAACCAAATTGTTGGGGGTCTCAAGAGTGTCTCCATCGTGTCCAGCAAACTTCTTCTGGCGGCCAAATCTGTATCTGCTGACCCCAATGCTCCCAATGCCAGGAACCTTCTTGCCCAAGCTGCCAGGTCAGTTATGTGATCTGTAATTCTGTTGAAAAGTATCTTTAAAGTCGAGAAGATTCACTTCTGTTGCGCTGGGTTTTATCCTGTATGGCTCAGTCTTGCTCCACAGAGGAACTGTTTGACTGCTTAGAGCAGGGCTATTCAGCTAAGTTTACTCAGGGACCAAAGTTCTGAAAATGTTGGTCGTCACGGGCCAGAAGCCTGAGCCCCAGCATAGTCAGATCATTAATACCTTACAGCTGGCAATGATCCGGCTGCTTGCTAGGTTTCCATGGACCAAATTTAGCCCACAGGCAGCCAGTTGAATACCCCTGGCCTATAGCATCACACAGAGTACAAACCTCTTAGCTCCAATTACAGTTTTTGATGTTGTAATTGTTGAAGCTTGTGGGGCCGCTGTTTAGTATATTTCCATTTATGGTGTGATAAATTCCACTTAATTTGTGGTGGGTGACATTTAACCCCACTATGACTGTACAACAAGCGAATAACACCAAAGTGCCATCTGTGGGATGCGAATCCTGAACGCACAAGTCCCAGAAATGCCATTCATCTAAATAATCCAGCTGGGGTGGGTCTTGAAATGTCATAAAAAAGAAAATAAAATTTTTGCCCCATTTCAGGACAGGTTAATTTGTGTTTTGCCTTGCAGCAGTTACAAATAGTCAGCCCTTTCAGCATCAGGTTTTGAGAATGTGATGTATTGTTGACTTTTGTACAGGAGTTTGCAGAAAGCCTCAGACATGGTATCCAAATCATGGTTAATCCTTCATATCCAAATCATAACTCATAACTCATAATCCTTCTATTTGTAACAGAAGGAAATGGTGGTTGGTTTAAATAAATGTGATGTTTTTTTCAGAGAGGCTGGTTGAACGGTTAGAACGCCGGACTCTTTCTCAAGTGGGAGACCCAGGTTTGAATCCTTGGTAACCCTGGGGATTTTTAAATAAAATAAAATCTTCCCTTGCACAGTCATGGCGGCAGCACTAGCCATAAATGCTCAGGCTCAGAGACACCCGTGCCTACCCACAAAAGTGGTATAACAAAGGCAGTATTTGGCAGTTTTTTTGGGGGGAGTGGGGGGGGGGGGGGGGGCAGATGTTTTCTTTAGTTCCTGGTTGAACAGTGCAGAGGCACAAATAGATCCTTGTGGTCTGGAGAGACTGCTTGGCTTGGCTTGGCTTTTTACCCCACCAGGACATCACACAAGCGATAAACACCCGATGACACAAAGTGTCACCATGCGGATGAGGATCACCGTGGAGAGGTCCCAGAAACCGCGTTCAGACATTTGGCCATAATATGGCCTGCCTATATTGCGGCCCCTGGCAAAAGCCAGAGTAGGGCTTCAAATGACAAAACATTTCGTCCTAAAAAGGACGAAATTGGATAGTAAAAACACTTAAAGAGACTGCTAAAGCTAGCAGTGACCAGGACATCTGGCCTACTGTACAATCAGAGGCAAAGCAAAATGGACATACGGTCAAACTGCTGACGGCACTATCAGAATTGAAACTCTTTACTGGCTGCTGCTGATAAGAATGGAGCACTTATGGGAAAGCCCTAAGCACTCTGATGTCAGTTTAAGTTCAATACTTGACACTCAACTCAGCACTCAATTCCGGGTTTTGTAATGAAGGAAGTCTTTCTTCTTCTGTCATGACTCACCTCCCATTTGTCTACAAGTGTTCAATGTTGTCATCATCATTCACCATCATCATCATCATCAAGTGCTGTGCAAACAAGCATAATGTCATGTTTTACCAACTCACATTGATCACTAGAATCCTGGATCAGGTTAGGGCTCTAGTCTGTCCCTATCCATTTGGTTCAGTTAACAAGGTGATCATCTCTTTGCCTTCTCTTTGCTCTCTTTCCGTCAGTCTTAACACTCATTACCAGATTGTACAAGAATGAAGACTATAACTATTAAAATTATCCAGGTGTTTTTCTCTTGGTTTGTTCATAGAGCTGTGACAGAAAGCATCAACCAACTATTTAGTATCTGCACACAGTCGGCTCCTGGGCAGAAGGAGTGTGACAATGCACTCCGGCAGATTCAGGTACTTTTGCTATCTGAAATGATTGAATTATTGTTTGATGGCGTTGTTAATTGACTAGTTGATTGAGTAGGTGATGGATTGGTTGGATGAGCAGTTGATTGGTTGGTGGGATACTTTTTGATTGCATGGTTAATTGGTTGATGGAATGTTTGCCTAGTCATTTACTGATTGGTTGAAGGAATGATTGGTTGATTGGTGAATGTTTTGTTTAATGGTTGATTGGTTAAAAGCCTGATTGCTTGGCTGGTTGCTGAGTTGATTGACTAAGATAGATTTAAGAGAGATATCAGTAGACTGGTGATCCAGTGTACCAATCACTTGTCTAAATGAATGCACTGGGGAATGAACAGAGGACCTGCTCATTCATTTATTCATTCATTCATTCATCATGTAACGCCACTCACTTCCGAACCTCTGTTGCAGATGATTGCCAGTATGTTGGACAACCCCAATGAGCCAGTCAGCGACTTGTCCTACTTTGAATCCTTGCAGGCAGTTATGGAAAAATCCAAGGTAAGTTGATATTATGTCTCCTCTCCTTCTGCTTGCTGCTTTACTGCTAACTTTTCTTTGTCTTTCTAAAATGCCCCGGATTGTTGAACTGTGACACTGTCTTTGGAAATGTCTCAGCCATAAACTGATGTCTGCCTCAGAATTCTCAATGGAAAAATATAGCTAGTCTCATTTTCTAGTTTTCAGTAAAACAAATAAGGAATTATTTAAAACTTGACTAAGATCTTCTCAGACAAACCTCTTGTTCTGACATTTCTTCTCCCCTTAGAGCAGTGGTTCTCAACCTGTGAGTCGTGACGTTTTTGTGTGACGACAACCCTTTCCCAGGGGTTGCCAAAGACCATTGGAAAACACATATTCACTGAAATTACGAAGTAGCAATGAAAATAATTGTATGGTTGGAGGTCGCCACAACATAGGGAACTGTATTAAAGGGTCACGGCATTAGGAAGGTTGAGAAATTCTGCCTAAGAAGTAATGTATTTTCTAACGTAAACAGTTGTATTCTCGGAAATAAAAAATTGTTGCATAAATCACTGTATTTTCTGACATGAAAACAGGCGTTTCTTAAATTCAGTGTATTTTCTGACGTAAACAGTGTTTGATAAAACTGCATTACTGGTTTGTCTATTTCAGGATCTGGGCGATGCCATGACTGGTATTTCCAACCATGCCCAGAGAGACATGGATGACTTCTGTGATTCTGTGAGGAATTTTGCTAACTCTGTCTGTGGCTTGACCGAGGCGTCTGTGCAGGTAATATCTTTCCCCCCCCTCTCTCCATTAAATTGCTGCAGATTTTTTTTTAATGCTTTGTTTGCTAGAGCGCTATATGTTGCTGTGAAAACTTACTAGATCACTGTGAAAACTTGCTTAATGTGTATATTTAGTTTTCACCATCATGAATTAAAAAAAAAGGCATTGCAACCATATTGACTGACAACAATGAGGACGTTCAAAGTCTGCATAAACCTTCATTAACAATAGAGGCCAGAGGTGCTCGACTGAATTTCATGCATGAAATCATCTGTACATGTTTGGCTCAGTAAAGTGTACTCATTAAACAAATTAAATCTGTTAATTATTACCATCAAAGGAAGAACAGCATAAAACTTTGTTGAACTCTGTGTTAAAAGATGATTCTTTGTCTTGTAGGCTGCATACCTTGTTGGCATATCTGACCCAGCCTCTGAGCCAGGACGTCCAGGAGTTGTTGACCAAAGTCAGTTTGCTCGTGCTAACCAGGCAATACAGATGGCCTGCCAGAATTTAACGAATCCTACAAGTTCTCAACAACAGGTGAGTGAAGACATTAGTGGTCATTGTTAAACTTGTGTCACAGCACTTGAGACATGCCTATAGGTGCTCCATCTCCTTCACAAGATACCTTAGTTTTAAATAAAAATTCCCCCTCCTCCTCCTCCTCCAAGATTGCTGTCTGTAGGATTACCATCTCAAGAATGAGAATCCAACATGTACAAATATGAAAACCCCCTCTTAACCCATATAATTATGTATCCTTATTGATGATCTTCCTCCCTGATTGTTTCTTCTGTGTGGCTTCATTAATTTTCCAGTCTCCTTTGTAAGCCCAGCCAATAAAAACAGCACAAAAACAATGCCACCATCTTTGCAGAAAAGCCTGCTCGCCAAACGGAGGAAGCAAGGACACCACCAGACCTGACAGCAGAAGCCAGATACCAGGAGATCCCACCCATATCCGTTCCAGGCTGGCCCAAGCAAACTTAGTCCTTTTCAGGACTGACCCCCTTCCCCCAACCCCAAACACTAGAAAAACAGCCCTATCACAAGCTGCTGAGCTAGATCACTTTGGACATGATACACAGAAAAACAAACTAGGGCAAAACTGATTGCCACAAATAAACAAAATTCGCATCCTATAGCAAAGAACCAGTCCTCAATATAACAGTCCCTTGAGCGGCTCAAAAAGTACTAAGTTTGACATTTGTGTTTTTCAAATCAGATTCCCATCACGAGGTAATTAATATTTTCTCAGACTTAATTCAATCTTTCTGTCTCAACGAACACACATTTACCTATTGTCCTAATGTCTAAATAAATGCATTGCATGTTATTTTATGTGTTAGAATTAGAATACTCAAATATCCTGCCCAGATGTTGTACCATTTAGAACAGTAAATGCCTGTTTTGAAGTTACAAACCCATTTTAAAAAAAAAACATTTTTTTTTCTATGAACCCCATGTGCATCTGAAACAGAATCATCTGGTATTGAAATAGTACTTTTCTGGTATGATTCTGAACACTATCATCATTAACGTTCACTTGTTTACTTTATTGTTTAAAGCAGTATATGTGCAAGACATTCCTGTGTTACAGCAGTTAACAGTAGCTTCCCTCCAATGTAACCATTTTATAGGGTTGAATGGAGTATCTGGGATTTGTATCTGTTGCATTCAGATACAAAAAGTTGTTTGGGTAGGTGGGTGTCAATCTTAGGCTGCAATCCTGCAATGGAAAACATTGAAATAGAAAACATCTCTAATTAATTAATGTCCTTTTTGTGTGACATGTTTAATGTCCTCTCTGTGAACCTATTAATATTCTTTCTGACTTTATTAATTAGGGTAGGGACACTCAAGCCCAGGTATGTTTTTACAGCCTCTACTAGAACCCTGCTAATTTCTGGACATTTATTTTGGTGTCTTATCTTTCATGCATTATACCAACCATTATTTTCTTTGTCATTGCTATGTCTCTTTATGCTACCAATTTAGCATGAGACCGTGGTTGCATTTTATTGCATTTTAGAGAATACATAGGATACTCTCAACGTTTAAAGAATGACAAGAAAATAAGAAAGTTAAGAATATCAGAGGAATGTTGAGAAAAGAAAATCAAAGGTTGAAATGAATACGTCAAGTGTATTGTCTTGTCTGTCCTAATTATTTGCATGTTAATAGAAATACTTTTTTAGTAATGACAGTGTCGCTGTAATAGCCAGACTGAAAGTTAATGACAATATCACTATTATAGAAATATTGACATGTAATGACGGCATCACTATAATAGACATACTGAAAGTTAATGACAATATCACTATAATAGAAATATTGACATGTAATGACGGCATCACTATAATAGCCATACTGAAAGTTAATGACAATATCACTATAATAGAAATATTGACATGTAATGACGGCATCACTATAATAGACATACTGAAAGTTAATGACAATATCACTATAATAGAAATATTGACATGTAATGACGGCATCACTATAATAGCCATACTGAAAGTTAATGACAATATCACTATAATAGAAATATTGACATGCATTGACGGCATCACTATAATAGACATACTGAAAGTTAATGACAATATCACTATAATAGAAATATTGACATGTATTGACGGCATCACTATAATAGCCATACTGAAAGTTAATGACAATATCACTATAATAGAAATATTGACATGTATTGACGGCATCACTATAATAGCCATACTGAAAGTTAATGACAATATCACTATAATAGAAATATTGACATGTATTGACGGCATCACTATAATAGACATACCGGTAAAAGTAATGTTAGTCTCCGCAGACCCCACCCATATACACACTAGCTTACTTCTGGTTGGTAGTTCTTGAGCCCTGTGACCTTCGGTCAAGGTTACGGGGGTGTTCTGCGATACTGTTGAGTTAGGTGAGGACTTATGCTCCTTTGAGGGTTGAAGGGCAGGCAAAGTATGCATACTCAGGCTATTTTCACTTTTTAGACTAGCTTCATAGTGAAAAAAAAAATTTTTTTTTAAATGTGTATGGTGTACCAACATATGAGCTAACATATGTGTACATACTCCTACTTGTTATGTAGGCTTCATGAAAAAGCTAGTGTAATCCTATTTAGCATGCTTGTCTTTTGGTCATGAGATCATCGGTTTGAGGCTGCATCAGTGCAGATTTTAAATAAAAACAACCTGAAATCCCATGTTGCTCAGCATAAAATGGGTATGAGGGAAATATAATTAGAAGTAAAGGTGGCTGAAATCTTGTTGACAACATCACTAATTATTTCAGATGGTTCTATAAAATTATGGGCCATATGCTCAATGCACTTAAGGCATCCCGCAAAAGAGTCCTTTAAATCCTTAAAAATAATGATATCACTTTGACACTGACATTTCTTTCATATTCTAACCATATACTGAATACATTGACTCTTCATCATCATCATCATCATCATCAAGTGCCCTGCCAACCGGTGTAGGCACTCATGAGTCTCCACAGATCATGATCTCTGGTTGCCTGGAACAACTCTCTTGGTGATATCCCTCCATGCCATTGTTTCAGCCCACCCAGCATCGTTTCTCTTGGTCTGTCTCTACCCCTTTTTCCACTGACCATTGACTCTTATTGATGCTAAATGTTGTGCAGGAAATGCCAGCATTGACCGAGTAATATACATTGTGCCACAGACAAGTGTTCTTTCCTTGGCTGTACTAATAAATACTAGATTATGGTATTATGGCATGGAGAGATATCTTTACGTAAATTACTTTATATAAATGTTTACGTTCTATGCGAATTGCAATGAGGAAAGATCGTGTTAGGAATGATGATATCAGGAGGAGAGTCAGCATAGAAATGATACTGAACTTTATAGGTAGACAACAAATCAAATGGTTTGGTCATGTAACAAGATTAGCATCAGACAGGGCCCAAGAGAGCAATGTTATTCAGATACAGCAGTAACAGAACCTGAGGTCGACCATGCAGAATATGGACCACCATATGGGAGCTGCGGGGCCCCATCTGTAGGGAAAAAGAGTAGACCTACTTCCTGCTAGCATGTCTTAAAAGGTCAATGTTTGGGAGATGGCTGAAATTGGAAGTTTATTATACAGCCGTCCCCATTTGGGATGCAATTTTTGGTTATTTGAAGCCCCACCCTGGCTTTTGCTGGTGGCCCTGAATATAGCAGGGCCATAAATATGGCCTAAGGGTTGAAAGGGGTTTCTGGGACCTCTCTACGGGTGATCCTCATCCGCATGGTGGCACTTTGTGTCACCAGATTTTTATCGCTTGTTTGATGTCCTGGTGGGTTACAACAAGAGAGAGAGATAGAACTGGATGTGTCGACATATTTATCACAGCCTGGTTGTAAATCACAACAGACCAATTGAGGGCTGCCATATACCTTTAATTCCCATGTATGCCATTTCTTTTGCCAAGACTGCAGTCTGTTCAGTTTCCTCACAAGGGATGGCAATGGAAATCTGTGTAGTTTTCTTTGGTACAGGAACAAAGCAACCGTGGAGTGACCTGTTTTGAATTGTGATTATCTGACTACCTGATCTAAGCCCTTGTAGTGTTTACCTTGATTCAGAGACCTGATGCTGTCCATCAGCAGTTTTCTTTGATGTTCATTGATGATCTGGTAGAGGGGCAAACTTTCTTTAACAGTCATATTCACTCAGGCTTGGTTCTAAAATTATTGCAGACTGACCTGATTCACATCCGTATATGTTGTCAGAGGAAATATACTGTTTACTATGTGGTTTTAAGCTGCCTCTTGACACTTTGTCTATCATGTGTGTCTGGTTCTATGTATCTGACGTATTCTGCCAGGTATTTGATTCCCTGTCATGTGTATCTAGATTGCCCTGTATATCTTATTGCTTGTTATGTATATCTGTGAAGATCCTATTCATAATCTGTTATTTCCTATTTTAATTTTCAGTTATTTGTAGCAAGCATTATATATCATTATTATAATAATTTTTCTTATGGAATTAATGAGCAGTCTTCTCTCTTACCTAAGTATTATGCTTCTTGGAGTTTACGGTCCATGGTAAGCTCCCACATCTGAATTTTTTTTAAAAATCTCTCTCTCTCTCTCTCTCTCTCTCTCTCTCTCTATATATATATATATATATATATATATATATATATATATATATATATATATATATATATATATATATATATATATATATATATATATATATATATATAGAGAGAGAGAGAGAGAGAGAGAGAGAGAGAGAGAGAGAGAGAGAGCAGAAGAAGCCTATTGTTTCTTTAAAAAATTGAAGTTGTTGGGCTTAAAGGCACAGATATCTTGCCTAGCTGTAAACCACAACTTAGCATTTCCTTTTAGGGACAAAAGAAGAAGCCTCTTTTGTATGGTGTTGTCTTCACAATGTTGCAATATTGTTTTTCTCCACACGTGACTATAGAAGTCATATAAACCGATTTTGATTTGAACGCTGTTGTTTTCACATTGTTACAATGTTAGTAGTTGGTTTTCTTTTATGTAAATTGAGTTAACTGACATCATAGCAATTGGGACATTCTTAGAAGTGCTCCGTCCTCATCTTCAACAGCAGTCGCAGTTTCTCCAAACATGTCTTTAGAAGGCATGTAAATCGATCTTGGTTTTGACGCTGTTGTTTTCACATTGTCGCACCATTAGAGGTTTTCTTCATGCATACATATATGCTTGATGCCGAATCTTTTGTGTATGTGTTATCTTTACATTTTTGCATTATTGCTTTTGTTCACACACATACGTTTAAAAAAAAACCGACATATAGACTTATCTTGTTTTGGATACTGAAAAACATTGTTGCATTATTAACATATAAGACATATCTTATCTTGTTTTGGATACTGAATCTTTTTTGTGTTGTCTGCACATTGTTGCCTTATTAATGCTTTTCTTCATACACATATATGTCTTTAAGACAAGACATATAGACTTATCTTGTGTTGGATCCTGAATCCTTTTTGTGTTGTCTTCACATTGTTGCATTATTAGTGTCTTTCTTCATAAATATGCCTGTAAAAGAGACACAGACTAATCTTGAGGGACACTGAATCCCTTTTATATGGTGGTCTTTTTTTTTTAAACAACCTTTTTCATTTCCAGTCTTTTCAGAATCTCTGTATTTGATTGCTTGAATTTCCATGTAAAACCACCAATTCTTTTGTATACTATATATAGGGTTTAATTAATCCCAAAATTTGTCGTTTAAAAAATATCAAAGCCAGTATTCGTCCAGAAGTTAAACTTTTATAAGCAGATTCTTAAAATCAGTTCCCACATTTCAGATTTGTTATCAAGTAAGTTTGTTTTTATTTATTCATTTAGTTTCTTCTTTCCACCTTCTTTTTTCCAGATTTTGATTTATTTTATTATTTCATATTCTCTTTAAAAAAAACGGAATGATTTTTTTTTGGTTGACTTCATAGATTGTTGTTTCCACTTAATTTATGGTCCTGGTTTATGATTAAACTCCTTCACTCGTTGTTCACCGTTTATTTGGTAATGTTATTCATATATTTTAAAGAAATTGATTATGAAGTAAAACTTGTTAACACAAATTGCCTAAGAAGAACACTTGGCTAACATAAACAAACTTTTGCTCACAGCAGCGAGGTATTATTATTATTATTAGTCCCCGGTCAACACACATTTTTTTAAAACATTAATGCCTCATTTTTTTGGTCCTTTGGAGTTCATGTTAACAAGGTTTTGCTGTAGTAATTAAGTGATGTTGGTGTGGATGGTAGGGATTGAAGCTGATGGATTGGCTGTTTCTTCCATGCTTGCAGATGGCCAGCCTATGGATCGCAGCAAGATTATTATTATTGCAATTAGAGGGAGAGGACAACTGTTGGATATTGGGGACATTGCGTCCACATCACTGAGAGATTGTAGACTTAAGATCAGCATGGCTAGGCATGAGAGGAACAACAGATTTATGAAAGGCATAAAATCAAACTGCCACCAGTACGACAAGAATTGGAACTGTTTGCTGGCTACTGAAGATAATGGCGGAGCGTGTATTCTAGTCTCCTGAGTGCTGTGATGTCAGTTCTTGACTCAACTCAGTGTACGGAAGGTCTTATCAAACATCATATTACTGCCAGAGACTCAGCTCAACTCAGTGAACGGAAGGTCTTATCAAACATCATATTACTGCCAGAGACTCAGCTCAACTCAGTGAACGGAAGGTCTTATCAAACATCATATTACTGCCAGAGACTCAGCTCAACTCAGTGAACGGAAGGTCTTATCAAACATCATATTACTGCCAGAGACTCAGCTCAACTCAGTGTACGGAAGGTCTTGTCAAACATCATATTACTGCCAGAGACTCAGCTCAACTCAGTGTATAGAAGGTCTTGTCAGACATCATATTACTGCCAGAGACTCAGCTGAACTCAGTGTACGGAAGGTCTTGTCAAACATCATAATACTGCCAGAACGGCAAGGAACAAATAACTGCATACTGATAAACTAGTAAAACGGATGTACACGCAAAACTCAGACCCTGGCACAAAGCCAGAGTCCAAATGGACGAACAGCCCGGACTTTCCGCTGTAGCTTACAGCCAGTTAACAGAGAAGAAGAAGAAGATCTCTCACAGCAAATTTTTTTTCCTTTTCAAATAAGTGCACAATAAACGATGGGTGCAACGAAAAGTTAACACTTGGTGTCATGGCCTAAACATTTGTTGCACCATCCGAGACATTTTATAATGGGTGTTTTTTTAATGAGAGGTGCTAGTTTTACTGTGTATATTCTCATTCAAATATGATCTAACAGTGATATCACTAAACTAAGGCCTTCCCTATAGGATTTTGGGGCCCTATTGTTTGAGGGGGTGGGGTGGGGAGATAATAGACACATTGCTCCCCTAACAAGCTTGTCCTAAAAAGTTGACTAATTGAGAGTGTTTCCTTAAAAGTCACATTGCAACTGCCTGAGTGGCAAAGAACCAACAGTCTGGATACAAGTAAATCGGATCTGTAAAACGGATGTGCACACAAATCTGAAGTTCTGGAACCAGACTAAAGCCCAAAAGTGGGTGAACAACTGGCCAGAGTTTACAGCCCAGGAATGGGATGGAGAAGCTGCTACTGTTTGTATTATGTCAAATTGAAAACTAACAGTTCATTTGATTTGTGTTTTGTTGTGTTCATTTACACAATGTGCTTGCTTACACATTCTCCTTCAGATTCATATTTTGGGACATGACAGTTTGCACTTTAAAGCATTTTGTTCATTTTGTTTTCTTGAGTTTTTTCTGAAATGTTTAATTGAAATTCTGCATTTTTTTTTCTTGTGTTCTTTTCGCAAAATCTAGTCCAGATTCTGGCACTCTCCATCTCTCTCCCGTTCGTCTCCCTCTCCTCTGTCTCCCTCTCCTCTGTCTCCCTTTCCTCTGTCTCCCTCTCCTCCATCTCCATCTGGTATGCCTCCCTCTCATCTCTCTCTCTCTCTCTCTCTCTCTCTCTCTCTCTCTCTCTCTCTCTCTCTCTCTCTCTCTCTCTCTCTCTCTCTCTCTCTCTCTCTCTCTCTCTCTCTCTCTCCTTCTTCTTCCTCCTTTTTCTTTTTTCTTTTTTTTTTCTCTCCAGCAGGCTTCTAGTTTTTTTCCCCTGATTCTTCTTCTCCAATTGTTCTTTCTAAAATATACATTCTGGAATTTTTTAAAATATAAAATGCTTTAGAATAATCAGTCAGCACATAGATGTTTTGGGCAGCGGCCGTGGTTTAGTGGCTAGACACTCTCATGCAGATCTGAATGTCGTGGAGTCACATACGCATTGGGTCTTAATTTTTATCTTTAAAAAACCAAATTTACCTTCGTTCCCAGGTCGATTCAGCCCTTAATGAGCACCTCCATGTAACGTTTTAGTGTGGCTTGCTGTGGAAGATAGTACCAGAGCATTCTTGCTAGGTGTCCAAACCACTTTATTTGTTGTTCTTTGATGACTTGGTACCCTGTTCAACCTTATACATTAGTTTATACTGAGGCACTATCCAGCTGCACAAAAAACCATATTTTTCCTTGGATAAGATGCACCCATGTAAAAGATGACTACCTTTTTTGGGGTGGGGGGGGGGGGGGATATGCAGAATTATTAATCAAATATTTTAAACACATTGCTGTATTCAAGACGACCCCCAATTTAAACTGACAAAATTTTTGGAGCAAATATCCCATATGTGGAAAAATACAGTAATTTCTTATTTTGTGAATTAGCCTGAAGTGACTATTCACTTTAAGTGATCTTATTTTGTGAATTAGCCTGAAGTGACTATTCACTTTAAGTGAGGGAGATGGGATGCAATAGAGTATTATTGCGGATAGATTAAAAACTGAGCATCTCTGAAGAAGCACATTAACTACCTGGGACTGCAACAGTGGTGCAGAAATCTGGTACTGTAATTGTGAAATAATATTCTAAATGCAAGTCTAGGGCTTTGCTAGTCACCTCACTATCAACATGGGCTGTGGTTCCTATGCCTCCATATAGTACACTTTAACACTCTCATTCATAAAGATGATGTTGAGAGACCGTGTTAGCACAATAGATAGGAGACTCACTTTCAAATCCAGCTGCGACTCGCTATAGCCCACGGCCAGTGTTCAAAACGGGGCGGTTACCAGGGTTCACCCAGCCTCTAGGTAATGGGTACCAGAGTTAACACTCTGGAGTGAATGGAGGAACGTCACTGTAGCTATGGAGTTGCGTGCGGACAGCTACACAGGCGGACAGTGTCTTATCAGCTGTCCGTACTGGTGGCAGAGCACTTATGGTTTATAACCGGTGCAGTGATACTGGTTCACATCTCCCAACTTTACCTTTACCTTTATCTGTAAAGATAAAAATGGTGCTGACTAAGCAAAGGAAGATGAAGCAGTTGGGCGGTGGACAAATAATATTAGCAGCATCAAATATCAAATAACAGTTTGGGGTGTGTGTATTGAGAGTTAGCATTGTGAATTGTTCATGTGTTGTGTTTTGTCTCAAATTCTTATGCATTGTTGGGGGTTCTGTTGCAGGTGCTGTCAGCAGCAACAATTGTTGCCAAACACACGTCCTCGCTGTGTAACTCCTGCCGGCTAGCATCTTCTAAAACAGCCAACCCTGTAGCCAAGAGGCATTTTGTGCAGAGTGCTAAAGATGTGGCCAACAGTACAGCCAATCTAGTCAAAGCCATCAAGGTAAATATTTTGAGACAAGAAGATCTGCAGCTCAAGGGGATGTAAGATGCTGCTGTGGGAATCTGTGAGCCACAGTATAATAATGGTTAGATTGCTAGGCTGCTTTTTGGCTTAAAGGTTGCTGAAGGAGTTGTAAGAGTTTCATGATTTTTGGGTTTCATGATTTTAGAGTTTCATGATTTTAGAGTTTCGTGATTTTAGAGTACCAGGGTTACATTTTCACTGCAGATGGTTTATGTATTTATTTTAACAACCGTTCTCATGTTTTTCTGTTGATGGTAATCCCCCTGTGGGCTCCGGGCCCCATTGTGGAGCAAACTAGAATAGACCCACTGCCTCCCTAGCAAGCATGTCGTAAGAGAGGGAAGGAACCAACACTCTGCATACAAATAAGTCAGATCTGTAAAGTGGATGTGCATGCAACACTCAGGTTCTGGAAATCGATTAAAGTCCAGAAGTGGATGAACAACCAGAACTTTCTGCTGGAGTTTACAGCGGATGAACATGAAGAAGAAGAAGGAGACTGTGGTAGAGACTGGGGTCTCACTATATAATATCTCCAAATACATCATGAAAGAGATCACAAACCAAATGATAAGTAGAAACAGTCAGCTTCATAATATCACAAACACAAATGATAAGTGAACGAAGCGGCTAAAGAGGCTTCATCAGCACATTACATAAATCTACAGTATCACTAGCATGACCAAGAATGCACAGAATCACTTAACTAATGTATCTCCAATAGAAATCACATTTCCATCTGGCCAGTAGAATATCTGACATCTAGAAGACAGCAGTGTGTACATTGTAACCAACCTTCATTGTGGAAATAGCACCAAATTTTTGTAATGAGACAAAATCTGCCTCACAAGTGGAATTTTAAGATGTTTCTTTGGAAATTTATTGTGATCCACAGAGTCATAATGATTGGAGTGCTGGCTGGTTAAGCTAGTGGTCTGGGTTTAATACCCAGAAGTGGGAGGATTTTTCTCCAAGTACGGCTCTCTCTTTGTAAATATCTATATCTTCCTGAAGAATTGGCTCATAAACAGCATCCTGTCCTGAGGCATTGTGACCATGTTAAACATCATGGTGGCCCAACCAAAACTTTTTTGCCAGAGTTTACAACTAGTGAATGCGAAGAAGAAGATTTGACACTAGCCCTAACCCTAAACATTATATGATACTTCCCAGGTAAACCCCAAAGAATCCCTAGGAATTCCCTACAAAATCTCGAAGCCGACAAGATGTGGTTGTATTAAATTAAAGTACCTTGCTGATTGATGATGATGTCTTTCTGAACATCAGTATCCATTTGAACATCTACATTTTCCCAAACATTGTTACATTTGTGTGACTGTTGTTGGTTGGCAGGCTTTGGACAGTGACTTCACAGAAGAGAACAGACAGAGATGTGCAGAGGCTGCCCGGCCGTTACTGAGTGCAGTCGATGAGCTGACAACATTTGCTTCCTCGCCAGAGTTTGCCAGCAAGCCAGCAAAGATTAGTGCCCAGGTAAACAGAAAGATTAGTGCTCAGGTAAACAGAAAGATTAGTGCTCGGTATAACAGAAAGATTAGTGCCCAGGTAAACAGAAAGATTAGTGCCCAGGTAAAAGAATGATTAGTGCCCAGGTAAACAGAATTATTTAAACAAAGAGGCAGAAAGACTGGTGGCACAGGTAAGAATAATACCTAGTTAAACAAAGTTATTAGTGTCCAGGTAAACAGAAGGATTAGTACCCAAATGAGCAGAAAGGTAAGTGCCTAGGTAAACAGAAAGACTATGACCAAAGTAAACAAAAGATAAGTGCCCAGGTAAACAAAGACTAGTGCCTGGTAAACAGAAAGATTAATCTCTAGATAAACAGAGTGATTAGTGTCCAGGTAAACCATATGGTTAGTACCTAAGTGAGCAGAAAGACTGGTGTTCAGGTAAAAGAAAAGATAGGTGCATGGTGAAAAGAAAGAATAATGCCTAGGTAAACAAATATTAGTGCCAGAGTAAACCGAAAGATTAGTAACCAAGTGAGCAGAGTGACTGGTGCCCAGGTAAACAGAAAGAGTGGTACCTAGGTAAACAGATAAGTGCCCAAGTTAACAGAAAGACTAGTACCCATGTAAACAGAAAAATAAATGCACAGGTAAGAATAATACCTAGTTAAACAAAGTTATTAGTGTCCAGGTAAAAAGTAAGATTAGTACCCAAGTGAGCAGAAAGATAAGTGCCTAGGTAAACAGAAAGACTATGACCAAAGTAAACAAAAGATAAGTGCCCAGGTAAACAAAGACTAGTGCCTGGGTAAACAGATAGACTAGTGTCTAGGTAAAAGGAAAGATAAGTGCATCGGTTAAAAGAAAGATTAATGCACATGTAAACGAATATTAGTGCCAAGGTAAGCAGCATGGTAAGTGCCCAGGTAAACAGAAAGATTAGTGCTCATGTAAATAGCAGTATTAATGCCCATGTAAACTGAAAATTTTAGTGTCTGGGTAAATAGAAAGATTAGTATCCAGGTAAACAGAAAGATTAGTGCCCAGGTAAACAAAAACTAGTATCTGGGTAAACAAGACTAGTATCCAGGCAAAGAGAAAGATGAAAACCTAGATAAACAGAGTGATTAATGTCCAGGTAAACAGAATGATTATTACCCAAGTGAGCAGAAAGACTGGTGCCCATGTAAACAGAAAGACTTGTACCCAGGTAAACAGAAAGATAAGTGATCAGGTAAACAGAAAGATAAGTGATCAGGTAAACAAAGTCTAGTGCCCAGGTAAAAAGAAAGACCACTGCCAAAAACAAAACCAAAAAAAAAGAAGAAAATAAGAGGAAGATTAGTGCTGAAGTAAATGGAAATTTTATTGACCTGGTAAATAGCTATAGATAGTGCCCTAGTAAGGTGAACAGTTATTTTCCAGGTAAACAAATGTTTGTCATCAGGTTTACAAAGTTTAATACCTAGGTAAGTAATGTTGATATTAGTCCTGCAAGGTCCATTTGTTGTTGTTCGTCCATCACAGTTGTTGAGGACCACTCTTTCTTTCATCTGTCATGAAACTATAGTTGATTGTCTACGAGTCGGGAGATGACTTATAAACCCAGTATGAGTCTAAAGGATCTAGAACACTGAGGGCAGGGAACAGTGTTTATAGATAACAGGCCTGTGATACAAGTCTTTCTTGTATGTCTTTGTGTGATCCAGCCATGTGTTGATGAACAGTATTAATGATGAATAAAAAGTGAACCAGGTTGTTTTATCTTGCAGGCTCGTCTAGCTCAAGAACCAATCACACAGTCGGGCAAGGCCATGATTGAGGGCGCCTGCAACATGCTGCTAGCAGCAAAACAGTTGGCCGTCAATCCAAAAGACCCTCAGACCTACCAGCTGTACTCTCATCACTCTAAAAGTGTCTCAGAGTCTATTAAGAAGCTTGTGGCCAACATCAAGTGAGTAGAGTAGTGTAATGTTGGTATTTTCCCATGGGAACTCTCTAAAAAATATATGGGAGTAAACTTTGAGATAAGAGAGAAAGACGTGAGAATGTGAATACTCGTAGAAACACGAGATATACAAGCAGGGCTCAAACTAACACGTGCAACTCAGAACGAGGATTATAAGATTATACGAAGGTCTAATCAGTTAGTATGTGATTCGCAGCCAGCGTGAGAGGTTTTGTTTTGTGTGAATGCGACATGGCATGGCTGAATAGCGTGAAGAAGATTGAATTCAACAAGTGACCGCCCAGCCAGAATCCAGTCAAGTTTGAGAACTAGTCTGATGGTGGAGCTGAACAACCAGCGGCCGAAGATGCTTGTGTGAGACCTATACATGTGGCGCGACTGAGACGTGATGTTTGCAAAGGGAGCAAACAGGAATGACTGTGAACAGCGGTGAAGAACTTTGTCATTGTTACTTGTTGAATGTTTGGACATGCTAGAGAGTAGCTGACGGTGACTGGATCAGATTGTCTTCTGTGAGTAATAAAGATTTAAACTGTGATTGTGTCTCTTCAATAAAATCTGTCTGCGTCAATTCATCATGTGGTGTGTCAACCAGAGTACAGTCCCCTAGGAAACAGCCAGAGCACATTGGGAGAACAACATCGAAAGTGGGACTTCCCTCACTTCACTTGTGTTTTTGTTGTTGTATTCACCAGCTGTAAAACTCTGCTGGAAAGTCCCAGTTGTTCGTCCTCTTCTGGTTTTATTTCTGGACTCCATTTTACAGATCTGGCTTATTTGCAAGTAGACTTTCTGTTCCTGCCTTGCAGGCAGATGTGCTCCAGTTATGTTAAATTCAGGAATTTGTTTCACCTCAGTTGCTATCAGTGACTTGTGTATAATTTGTTGCCTCTGTTGTTATAAGTTGTGTTACTTTAGGTTACTTGTAACATTTTATTTATGTAATTGTCAATTACATATAGTCATTTTGCTGTAGGTGACTTTTATTATTGTAGTTGTGAGGATGCTAGTGACATTTATCTTTACTGTGTGTCAGTGATTTTTGTCTGTCACTGTTTGGCTGTCAGTGACTTTTATCTTTTCAGTTATTTTGCTGTTGTAAACTTCTGCCACTATAATTATTTTACCAGTAACCAGTGATAGGGTGTTACCAGTGCTCATCATTAAACAACACAACTAAACAGCGGATGTGATGTATTCATGGGTTAGTAGCAGTAAATAACAATGTAGAACTAAGAACAATATGCACAGTACTGATAAATGATTTTAAAGAACATCAAAGAATGAAATTGTTTGGTCATCTGGTCAAAATTGAACAAAATTAACCAGCAGCCAGAGCGTACTACAAGAGGCAGCAGGCTACAAGGCAAGAGGCAGATCGAGAAAGAGATTGATAGAGAGAATAAAAGAGACACTACAGAAAAACAAAAGGACATTAACACAAGCTACACAAATAGCGAAAAACAGGAGACTCCTCTCTGTGACTCTTCACAGCGTAAGCAGTAGCACAGAAAAAGAATGAGATGAATTAGCCGTAATTTAAGCATATTTTAAAATTGCCTACCTTGCAGAGATGGAGCGCCAGGTCAGCATGAGTGTGACAATGCCATAGAGCATCTGAACATCATCATCAGAGAAGTTGACCAGGCTTCCCTCGCTGCGGTCAGTCAGAATCTCCGACCGAGGGATGAGAAGTCACTGAAAGTAAGAGCTCCTCTATTTTTGTTTATAGTTAGAATTAATATTTGTGTTTACTCAGATAAAACCAGAATTTAATAGTCATCTTCAGGTGTCTACAGACAGAGACAGTGAGAGACATTTAGAGAGAGGGAATTGAAGAAAAGAGAGGAAAAGACATTGAGAGAGAGAAATAGCAAGTGAGAAATACAGTGAGAAGGAGAAAGACATAGAGCGAGAGTGATAAATTATGGAAAGACAGATAACAAGAGAGTGAAACACTAATGAAAGAGTGAAACACAGGTAAGAGGAAAAAAACATTGTGAAGGAGAAAGGTATTAAGAGAGTGATAAATTATAGAAAGACAGAAATTACGAGAGAGTGAAACACTAATGAAATTGTGAAACACAGGTAAGAGAAAAAAACATTGTAAAGGAGAAAGGCATTGAGAGAGAGAGAGAGAGTGATAAATTATAGAAAGACAGATAACGAGAGAGTGAAACACTAATGAAAGAGTGAAACACAAGTGAGAGAGAAAAACAGTGAGAATAATAAAGCCATTGAGAGAGAGTGTGATAAACCCTGAAAAAAAAAACAGTTAATGAAAGAGTAAAGAGAAATACTATTAGAGAGATAGAAAGACAGCAAGAGAGAGAGAGAGAAAGAAAGAGAAAGTTAGGGAGAGACAGAGAGAGAGAGAGAGAGAAAGAGAGAAACAAACACATTGTTTTGTTTATCTGTTTAGATAGATGTAGTTGCTCAGAAAGATGATGATGGTAAAATTTCCCAATGATGTAACTAACTGTATCCTCAGGCCTACCAGGAACAGATGATTAACAGTGCCAGGGAGATCTTGGATAGGATAGACCTCATCAGGCAGGCTGCCAAGGAGGAGCCACAAAATTTAGGCCATTTGGTAAATCCACATTTAGTTTTGTTTGATCAATACTGCTTTATCATGCGATGCATTTTTTGGTCTGTTCTCTGTCTCTCTTTTTCTCTGCCTGCCAAATTTGTGACCCTTTGAAAATAAAGTTTGTTTGTTCGTTCATTCTCTGTCTCTCATTCTCTCTCTGTGTCTCTGTCTCTTTCTTCCTGTCCTTGTCAGAAACATGCACAAATATTTACAAGCAAAGCACCCAGCAAGCATACAGTCTATGCCTTTTTTTCACAAGGTTTTTTTTTTTGGGTAGGGGGGGCACAGAAATTGAGCAACTAGCAACTATGGGTTGACCTGATTGCTGTAAAGTTGGAACTGCAATCACTTAGTTACATCCTCAGGAAACACACACAAAATATCTGCTGAAAAGACACAAGACTGGGTCTATCATACCCAAGTACAAATAAACCACTATTTTCCTGATTTCTTCTTTACCTCTTTCTTTCTTCTTTCCATATATAATGCAGACCTGATAAGGAGAACTCACAGGGGACCCAAGAAATGGGTCTTCTTATCAGAAATTGCACAGGATAAAAAAAAAATTATTCTGCACTGTACACATGCACATTTGTTTTCTCACTCCTTGTCTCCATTTCTCCACCCTCCCAACCAATATCATAATTCCCTCACTTGCTCTAGACAGTTGATGACATTCAGTAGCATCAAACAATTGATGGTAATAATTCATTGACAGGTGTCCACCGTATCTTCATACTTCGAACCTCTGGCACGGTCGGCTATTGGCAGCGCTAGCAGGACAGTGAACTCCAAACAACAGATGAATATTCTGGATCAAACCAAGACAGTGGCAGAGTCGGCTCTCCAGTTTATGTATGCTTGTAAAGAGGGCGGGGGTAATCCTAAGGTAAGTGAAAGATTCTGCAGTTTCTTTCATTCTTGCTTAGCTGTTGTAGTCTGTCTTTGAACTTTGTTTTAATGTCTTCATACAATTTGTTTTAAGAGGAGCAGATGGCCAGTCGGGTAAAGGTCTGAGTTTCATTGACCTGGGTTCAATCTTTGGCACTCCCTGCCCTGTACCTCCCTAAAAAGTTATAAAAGGGTCTTTACTGCCCTTTTTACGTGGCACCAGGACGTCCTTGACATGGAGCTTGTGGCCATAAAGTCTAGGTACTCCAGTGACAGAGACCTTAAGTCTCCTGAGAACCGCCTTATCTTTCTAATATGCTCTAATTCACTTGGAAAATCTGAAATCCAACAGTTTTATTTAATATTTTTGAGTTATGACCCATGCATTCATAGCTTTCTCTGGTTAGTATTTATTTGTGGTTGTCACACATGTGTCCTAGATTCAGATGGATAGGCAGATATGGGATTTCTATCGGCAATACTTCAGTTAAGTGACTTTTTTGTTTTGTTTTTGGTATTCCCATTCATTTTTATAGTATTGTGTATTTATGTAATGGGCTGTTGAAGGCTCTCTAAGTCACAACATTCATTTGTCATTTTTGTTTTGTGATAATATGAAGCTAACAGGTTCTACTTTTTGTTTGGTTTGGTATCTTTTTCTTTCATGAAATCTTTGGTAAGAGATGGAGAATTTTCTGTCTGAGGCAAAAATAAAACAAAATCTTAACATGTGCAGTTCATGATGACTGCACTAACTATACATCTTTAAAACTTCAGGCTGTCACCCCTACCCCACCTCACCCCTACCCCACCTCACCCCCGCCACACCTCACCCCCACCCCACCTCACCCCCGCCACACCTCACCCCCACCCCACCTCACCCCAGCCTTCCTCACCCCCGCCACACCTCACCCCTGCCACCTCACCCCCCCCCACCCCCACCTCACCCCTGCCCCACCTCTCCCTGACTGCCCTAAATATTGGTAAATACAGGCAGTATTGTACAGTGAATAAAGCACTAGAGCAGAAAACAACTACATGCGGAATGTGCTGTCTCCGCAGGGCGTCTAACAACACAAGAAGAGAAGGGTTACGAATACCAGCATTAGAAAAGTTGGAACAAGACCATGTCTGGATTATACTGACAAAGAATGAAATGGTTTGGCTATCCAGTGAGAATGCAGCCAGGCCAAACTGCATGTGAGACTTTTTAACAGTAGACCATCTGAGAGGAAGATGAGAGGAAGACCAAGACAAACACGGATAAATAATGTCGCAGAAACCTGCAAAAAGATGAACAAATCCGTCACCCAAACCACCCGAGACGCGCAAGACAAATACGGATAAATAATGTAGCAGAAACCTGCAAAAAGATGAACAAATCCGTCACCCAAACCACCCGAGACCCGCAAGACAAATACGGATAAATAATGTAGCAGAAACCTGCAAAAAGATGAACAAATTCGTCACCCAAACCACCCGAGACGCGCAAGACAAATATAGAAATCCACAACACTGAGCTACAAGCTGGTATCAGTGAAACAACAGAAGAAGAGAAGATGGACGTAAAGACACTTTTTAACAACTTTTTAGGGTGATATAGGGCAGGGGTAGCCACATCACTCATCGAGCGTCATTTAATCTATAGAAATATTGGTCTAGCACCATTGGGAGGGGGGGGGGTGAAAAGGGTCCAATATTTTATGAAGGTGAGTCACTTTTTCACTGTAGCAACATATGGATGAGAGTCGTGGAGGAGGAGAATAAAGGCTGAAATGCTATATAAAGAATACCATGGACAGAGAAGAATAGAAAAATTGACATCACAAAGGATCTGAACACCAAGGAAGATTGGCTAGTAAATAGTATCTTGCCTTGGAAACTAAAAATATTTTAGCCATATCAAGCGACATGGTGGATTGAAAAAAAAAATCATAGCAGAAGGCATTGTACCAGGAAGGGGGTGGGGCAGGGGTTAGACCAACATGAAGATGGACACAAGATATAAATGACACATTATGTAGGAAAGTGCACCTTTGACACTCTCTTCAAAGGGTTTCTTTTGGGGCATCTTCACTGCCTCATTACCTTTATTTCTCATTTTAGTGCCTTTTTGGTGGTTCTCTGCTTATTTCTTCTTAGGTTATGTGGCCAGCCTAGCACAGTCTTCTCTGTCTTTAAACTGTTAATACTGGGGGTTGCCTAGACTTTTCTCTTATTTCTTCACCCCTCTTGAATTCATCCCTGTTTAAGTTCAACAAATTCTCATGTTGAGTTTAGTTGAGTCAAGAATTGACATAACTGCACACGGGGCATTCCCATGCATGCTCCATCCTCATCTTCAGCAGCCAGTGCAGGGTTCCAATACTGATGGTACCGGTCACAATCTGGTTATATGTCTGTCTTGCCTTTCCTCTGAATGTAGTGAGCCGGCCAGATCCTCTGGTTACACCCAGGTGCCTCAATCTCTCTAGGCCATAATAATCTTGTTTCTCTACTGATTCCGTTTCTTGTTCACAAAGGGCCTCGACCACATCGCCTTGTCATGTATCATTTTACCACCCAGTGGTGCAGATCCAGCCAATCTTATCTGCTTGTTCATTACCCACCACTCCGGCATTGCTTTGGAGAAAAGATCCAAAGTATGCTCACTACCCATGACCTTCCCAGTGAAGCTTGCCACTCTGCTCAAAGCATCCCTGTCTTCACCTTTTTCGACATGCTTTCAGAGTCTGTTACAGCTACGACATGTGTATGTATGTTCTCTAGCCAGGGAAGAGCTGCAGTTACCGCTTCCACCTCCATTCTCATGATGTGATTCTTGTATGCTAGGCTGTCTTGCACTAAATATTTTCCATTGGCTTTCGCTACGAATCCCCAGGCCATCCATCTCTTTCCTCTCAAGACTAAACAAATTCTCCAATGAGAATTAAAAGCAAGACTACTCTGTCTATTCCAGTAAATCTAACCATGTGAAATGATCTGTCCTAACAGGCAACCCACACTCATGGTCCTATCGACAACGCTGCTGATGATATGAAGGACGTCCTCCAGGACCTGCTCCAGACCATGGAGGAGGCTGCCTCTCGGGCAGGTTTGGTGAACAGCATGATTGACACAATTACACAGTCTATCACCAGGGTAAGAATCACCTCTTTCTCTCTGTGGTAACAACCGTTGGTTAAACATTTAGAGCATCAATCTCGCGGATCTGAAGATAGAATTCTTATTTTGTAAGGTGTTTTGTCTATTGTGAACACCTGTACAAATATCCAAGCAAAGCTGTTTATGAGTCCCAGTGAGCACTGAAATACAGAAACATCTTTCTTCAGTTCAATTTTGAGGTTTGAACAACGTAACAACATCATAGCACACGGGTAGTTACCCATAAAGGCTTCCTTTTTCTTCTAACTCAAGTCTGAGCCCAAAGAAGCTCAGCTCATTGCACAGGCTTTGAAGCACCAGCGAAGATCCTTAAATACTTTAGGTAGGTTTTTAACTCAAAATTTTGCCCAGGCAGTGCCATGATCTTTTCTATTTTCAACTGCCAAGGGATTATTTACATGCACAACAATACACACGGGTGTCTGATCTCACTACCCAGAGACCAGGGGGAATTACTAGAAGTCCCAGCCCTTATCGGTGATTGAATCTGAAACCTCTGGCACTCAAATAAAAAGTACAGTAATACTGGACATTTATTCGCTGACGAATTTTGATAGATTTCACACTTTCACTTATGAAAAACATAACAGGATGTGCTGCTCCTCTTTTGTGCATGTCAGAAGTGTGGTGGCTATCTTTAAACTGTCAATATGATGTCGCCATGTTCGTCTGCGCCATGTTGTTCTGTGCTTAATACTCTTGACATCCTTAACAGCAGTTTCGACAAGTTACAAGACACTGGCATGGTTATTGTAATTTCTGTCACACTTTTACAGTTTTCACTAAGGCCCCTCTTACGCTGATGTAAAGGTTAAAGGTTATGCAAATTCTGTAGTATGCACCTAATCTGGGATACCATCCACCCAAATCTGTGGAGACATGAATACCTTCATTGTCTCAGGCGAAAGGCAAGACAAGTAGTAAACCAGATGTCAGCGGGTAGCATCAATATGTAGACCTTTTGCTGGCGGTTGAGGAGGGAGATGGAGCTACTATGGACTTGTCCTGAATGCTGTGATCTTGAATCTTTACTCAGATGAACCCAGATGTACCTACAGAGTCTTGTCAGAAAATATGATGTTGGTGATTTGAGAGAGATGGAGGTGCTTAGATAAAAGGTGATGTTTAATGGGATCGTGACCTTTGAAAAGAAAGTAATGTTTAATGAGAAAGGGATCCTTAGACAGAGGGTGATGTCTAATGAGATGGTAATTGTTGGCAGGAGAAGTGATGTTTAATGAGATGGTGATCCTTAGACAGAGGGGGATGTTTCATGAGATGGTGATCCTTGGACAGATGGGGATGTTTAATGAGATGGTGATCCTTTGACAGAGGTTGATGTTTAATGAGATGGTGATCCTTGGACAGAGGTTGATGTTTAATGAGATGGTGATCCTTGGACAGAGGGTGAACGACTGATGTTTAATGAAATGGTGAACCTTGGACAGAGGGTGATGTTTAATGAATTGGTAATCCTTGGACAGAGGGTGATGTTTAATAAATTGGTGATCCTTGGACAGAGGTGATGTTTAATGAAATGGTGATCTTTGGACAGAGGTGATGTTTAATGAAATGGTGATTTTTGGACAGAGGGTGATGTTTAATGAAATGGTGATCCTTGGACAGAAGGTGATGTTTAATGAGATGGTGATCCTTGGACAGATGGGGATGTTCAAGGAGATGGTGATCCTTGGTCAGAGGGTAAATAACTGATGTTTAATGTAATTGTGATACTTGGACAGATGGTGAACTACCGATGTTTAATGAAATGGTGATTCTTGGACAGAGGGTGATGTTTGATGAAATGGTGATCCTTGGACAGAGGGTGATGTCTGATGAAATGGTGATCCCTGGACAGAGGGTGATGTTTAATGAAATGGGGATCCTTGGACAGAGGGTGATGTTTGATGAAATGGTGATCATTGGACAGAGGGTAATATCTGATGAGATGGTAATCATTGGCAAGAAAGTGATGTTTAATAAGAAGGTGATTGTTGTACAGAGGATGATGTTTAATGAGATGGTAATTATTGGACAGAGGATGATGTTTAATTAGAAGGTTATCATTGGACAGAGGATGATTTTTAATGAGATGGTGGTTTTTTTAGTTGGGTTTATTTACAAGATTGATTATGATACTTTGAAAGAACATGATGTTTAACAGCATGGTGATAATTAGAGGCAGCCACATTTAGAGAGATGAGGATTTCAGAATTGTAAAATGCTTGACATGTAATACTCTTTCAGACTGAGGAAAGATACACGGACAGAACGTCCATTGTGGAACACTTGTCATTTGTTGATCATCAGACCAACATGGTTCGCTTGGCTAAACAGATTGCCAGGACAGCTCAAGATATGGTAAGTCTTTTCTTATTTCTTTCATATTTTTTGTTTCTTTTATGTTCACTGGTTGTAAACTCTTACGGAAAGTCCTGATTGTTTGTGTTCACTGGCTGAAAACTCTTACGGAAGGTCCTGATTGTTTGTGTTCACTGGCTGAAAACTCTTACGGAAGGTCCTGATTGTTTGTGTTCACTGGCTGAAAACTCTTACAGAAGGTCCTGATTGTTTGTGTTCACTGGCTGAAAACTCTTACCAAAAGTCCTGTTTGATTGTCGTTGGTTTGTGTTCACTGGTTGTAAACTCTGACAGAAAGTTCTGTGTATTTTGGCTTTGTTACAAGACCTTGTGTCGGCTCTGTGGCTAAGTCGACGCGAACGCTTCGTGATGCCGGGTTCCATCCCAGCTATGGGCCATGCGCCTTGCATTGGTTTCGACAGTGGTATCAAGAAAGCCGACCGTCTAGAAAGCAGTGGCAAATTACTAGACGTAAATTTGCCTAGAAAAACCAGACAACAGCCAGGAGCTGCTGGGGTTAGTTCTGCAACGTCCTGTAAAGGATACGCAACTAACCTACAGGACCTGAGTTTTGCATTTGCATCTGTGCAGTCTGTTGTTTCCTAGCCTATCAACATATCCACTCCAACTTCAAAGGCTTTCTTTCATTTGAAATAGGCGAGTAAAGAACATGTCATTTAATTGATCAACATTTGGACCCTTGAGAGTTCTGTGGTTTGTGCTCTGTGCTGAGATTCTTGTATGATCTTCGAACGAATGAATCAAAAATTAACTTGACAGCATTTCCCCACAGGTTGCATTCCCTTCATAGAAACTAACCTGGTTTTGTAACTTTAGATTTCCATGATTCAGATAGTTTTATATTTTGAAAGAGCTAAACAGTGCTGTATTTTTTTTTTTTTTTAATGTGCATATTTTAAATATGCTGCTGTGTTTTTTCCTTCTATGCTGTATATTTTACAGACTATTTGATATTATTTATAGATTGACTTCTATGTATATTCAAAATTGTTTTGTATATTTTCTAGACAGTGTAGCTATTTGTATACAAATATTTATTTATAGATCGCCAAATCCACAACAAATGTAGGACAGCTGGGTGTTTTGGCTAACCAGTTGACGAGAGACTACACGGCTCTAGCTAATGCTTCCATTGGTGCAGCTGCTGCATGTAATAACATAGAGGTAAGGGCAGGAATTTCTGTTATACCTGAAAAGTAATTAGTTAGTCCAGTGAATTAGTTAGTGAGTCAGCCAGATGAATCGGTCATTGAGTCAGTCAAATGAATCAGTTAGTGAGTCAGCCAGATGAATCAGTCATTGAGTCAGTCAAATGAAACAGCTAGCAAGTCAGTATACAGAGTTGCTGAACCACACAGGGTGGTTCTCTAGGACCAGGGTGGCTCTGTAGGACCCGAGCAGTTTAAACTGGTCAAGATCTTCCTGCACCTCTCTGTAGTCATCCTAGAAACTGGTTGCCAACTGAGGCCTTGATAAATACAGATGAGATCAACATTTCCTTCAGAACTGGAGTGCCACTTCCAATTCCAATTTGATAAACAAAAATTCCAAACTTGATCCTTTGTCAGCCACCCGAAGGCCTGATATATGAAGGAAGGTTCCTTGGCTATCTTATTTGCTGTCCTTTTATTTGTGGTGGGAAGTCACACCTGATATTTCTGTTCTTTGTCTTCCTAAATCTGGTGTGGTATTTGGGGTTCTGGTTCCTGATCTGGTCCGACTATCTTGAACTTCTATCCCTGTGGGTTTATGCTGACTGTTGCTGGTGCTTGGTTAGCCCATGCTAGTCGCTGCACTGGTGCCATGGAGTGTCAAGATGACAGTATATAAAACAGTGGAACAGACCAGTTGTCCTTTATGGCTCTGAAACCTGGAATACAAGTAAAAGCCTTATTACAAACCATGGGAACAGAGTCTTAAGAGGAATCTAATTAGTTTCATTTTTGTGCCAGGACATGTGGGGGGTACAAGGAAATGAGCAAGAGAAAATACCTGATTACAGAAAGACAAGAAATGCATACAAAAACAGAGTTCAGTGGGAGTATACCATGAGGCAGACTAAGAAAGATAGTGAAGAGATAACATACAGACACACCTTTAAACACTTGGGAGTCACCAACTGGAAATTTAAGGCCAGTCACAAAGATGAATGGAGGCGGGTGATGTCTGCAGCAAGGAACCTCAACAGCCTGGAATGCTGAAGAAGAAGAGAAGAAGACAGAGAATTATTCAACCACCAGACAAAGTATTGATTGTGTGGTTCTAGTATTCACACATTTGAACCCACGCTAGTGCTACGGAGTTTATACACTATGTTAGATATCTTTTTCAATGATCTGTGGGTGGAAACTGGATCACTTATGAAGTCATGCAGACATGCACTCATGAATTCAAGAAAGGTGAAGACACAACAAAAATGTCTGCACAACCGTTGGTATTAACAGTTGCAATATAAAGAAAATGGCGATATATTGGGCACATCCTAGGTAAAAGTGAGCAGAGTATCACCAAAGAAGCACCAAAATGGGAAACACATGTTGTTGTTGTTGTTGTTATCGATCCAGCGGCGCATGAGCTTTCGCCCTTTGGCCCAATGCCATGTAGTGGAATTTGCATGTTTTCACAAGCTGTTCTTTTCCTCCGTACAAGGTGTTCCACTTGTCTGGTCTCGGAGGGAGTAGCGTTCTTCTTGTCTCACTGAGTTTTGGGCACTCAAAGAGATGGTGTTCAACAGTTTCGTAGGGGTAGTTACATAGCTGGCACTCTGGGGAGTGTTGTGGCTGTATTCTGTTTAGGTGTCCATTGAGTGGAGTATGTTGCGTTCTAAGTCTGAAGATGGTGGCCTGGTCCCTTCTTGTTAGATGGTTAATGCTGTCATTAGGATCAGGGCCAGACATATGTCTATAAACCTCTCTTCCAGTGTCTCCCATGGCCCATCTGTTCAACCAAGTCTCTTTGTTTATAGCTCTTATCAGTGTTTTTGCTGTCTGGAGGGTTGTCGCTGTAGGTGGTTGTTCTTGTGTTGCTCCTTTCTTAGCCAATCTGTCAGCTCTGTCATTACCTGGTGTGCCGGAGTGACCTGGAATCCACTGCATCACTATTCTAATGTTGTATGAGGTAATAAGCTGATCAGCATCCAGGATTATCTTGGCTATGTCAGTTCTGCAGCGTTCACTGCCCTCCAGAGCTTGAAGGGCAGACATTGAATCTGTGAAGATGACAATATTTTGGACCTTTGAAGGGTAAACATCCATTACAGTCTTTAGGTGGTATACTGCTGTTTCCAGTGCAATTATTTCAGCTTCATAGTTTGAACAGAATTCCCCGCATGCATCAAAAATCTCTTCAACAGATCCATCGGGATAACCTATGTAGATTCCGTAACCTGCTTTAATGGTAGCTTTAAATGCTGATCCATCAGTATAGACATGTATCCATTCTTGGGGGTAAGAATCAACGGTCTTTAGTGATGAGTTCATAAGAGCGATTGGGTCGGACTGTTTGGTTTCCTCGCCTACCAATTTAGTTCGGACTTCTGGAGCTTTAAAGCGAGCATGTGGTGGAAACACATGGATTGAGGAAACAAGGAGAGAGAAATCCTAAGGTGAACATTTAATAAGAAAGGCCAAAGTTGCTGGGCTAGATAGAGCAGAAGGAAATGGAAGAATAGACTGAGTCCTCCGTGGCCATATACATGGCACATCAAGATGATGATGATGATGATAAAAATGATAATCCCAAGTAAAAATGCTGATAAAGATGATAATGATGATGATGATGATAATGAAACTTGTAAAATCCTATGATAAACACACAACAAACCATTTCTCTAACTAATCCACAATTTTTCCACCACACTCATAGATTGGCAATAGGATTCGAACTACAGTGCAAGACCTTGGCAAGTCATGTATAGAGCTTGTACAGGACGCTGGCAACCTACAGGCCAACCCATCCGACCAGTACACACAGCACGACCTGACTGAACACGGCAAAAATGTTCAGGAACACGTGAGCATATTTTTTTTGTAATCATCCTTACATGGGGAATTTGTACTTCATTTATACAAGATTCACTTATCTGCTTCATTTATCTAATTTTACTGTAGTAAGCACTGGACGAGATGCAGTGAAATATGTCAGGCAATAAATTGTACAATCTATTGTTTGTGTCTTCTTTGTTCAAATTCACAAGGGAAAACATTGCTTTGATCCTTACATGTGTTTTATTTTAGGAAATCACTGAGTGGATAGTATTTGGAAACAATTTTCACATCCGATGGAAAACTAGACAGAGAAATTAGCTCGAAATGTGCCAAAGCTAATCAAGTAATGGGGCAACTATCTTCCCTGTTGACACCCAAGCAGATACTTCAGAGTACTAAAGTGAATCTTATCAGAACCTTTTTTTGTCCAACACTCTGCTTAGTTAGTTAGTTAGTTAGTTAGTTGGGTTATCATCATTGCACTCCGGACATGTCCATAGGTGCTCAGATCCTCCCCTCAGTATGAACCCCAACGTCCGATGGCTAATAGTACCAGTTCTATGTTGATTAACAAGTCTTCTGACGTGTCCGGTGTGCGTCTCGTTTTTTGCTGTGCCGATCTTAATTCCCAAGTCTGCCATTCTGGCGAGTGATGTGGATTCACTGCCACCAAAGTCCTCTGTCCTTCCCATTTCTCTGAGGGCATTGATAATATCAGCATGATCCATAGGCCGACCGTCGGTAGTGATAGCGGATCCAGCCAATCTGTCAGCTCTTTCATTTCCATCGACGCCTGCGTATCCCGGAACAAAAATAAAGGTGACTCCTCGCACAGTGGACTTCTGAATTGATTCAAGCCATTGTCTTCGCACTGAACCTGCCTGAACCCTCCGGATCATACTCATTGAATCACTGAGTATACATATGCGGGTGTATTTTTGTGTTTCAAGCCAGGCAAATGCTTGCGTCACTGCCATCACCTCCATCGTCATGCTGCTGGTTGTCATGGAGAAGGCGCCGTTGGCTTCTTTGACTGTTCTGCCCGCTGAGCGTGCTGTAAATGCCCATGCGCTTCTTCTTTGGCGTATAATGGATCCGTCTGTATAGATTAGTGCATCTGCTTCGTCTGAATTTTCACCGATGAGAGCGTTGACCTCTGCATTAACAGCAACAGGATTCTCTTCTCTACATCGCCTGTTGAGTGTGACAATACAGGAAAATGTACAAATAAACGCCTGAGGCACAGGTATCCATTCTGCACCAGGTATGATGTCGGTTAGGCTGCATATTTGCCTAATAACATCTTCTGCCCGACCTAGCCACGATTTCCCCCTCTTCAGTCTGTCGCCCTTTTCACTAAAAAGCGCTTGATGCAGTGGGTGTTTCTTATCAGCACATATTTTGAGGGATGCCCGAGCCCTCCACATTCTGATCCTTTGGTTCATTGTTGGAAAGTCAAGTAGATACCACATTGCTCCACAGGATGTGTCTCTTGTACATCCCAAAATAATATGCATGGCTTCATTTTGCACCTTTTCGAGTCGTTCAATCTGGGTAGCACTGACAGTGAGGATGGCCAGAGCGTATTCAATGGGGGAAAGGACCAGACCGTAGAATAGAAGTACTAGTAGTCTTTGCTCGATATTGGAAGCAGCCATAATCCTCATTGCAGATAGACCTTTGGGTGCTTTTGTTATCACATGGTCAACGTGTTCCCTGAATGACAAGCTGCGATCGAACCTCACCCCGAGAAACGTCATAACGTTGGTTCTGATCAATACATTATCACTCATTTTCACTTCTGGTAAGTCCGACTTGACAATGTGATTGTTCAAAGAGAACCATGACACTGATGCCTTCGAAGGATTTACATAGGCATTGGAACCATCACACCAGGCGGCAATTCGATCGAGTTCTTTGTGCATTGTGCTGGCCCAACACTCTGCTATCAGTGCCAAACAGGGTCACTTACATCCTCTAATGAACATAAAATTGTGACAACAGAGATGAAATGACTTATAAGAGCTGCGTGAGTTTCAAGGAAAGACAGAATACGAAATCAGACGAATGCTCGGAATAAAGCCAGTCTTTCAGGTCAACAAAGAACAACAAATGAAGTGGTTTGGACAACTTACAAGAATGCTCTCTACTATCTACCACAGCGAGCCACACTGAAACGTTACAACGGGTATAGGGTGAGTGAAAGACCTAAAAAAAAAATGGAATGATGGCATTAAATACAGCCTTACAGAAACGAACATCAATCTTAATAGTGCTCTTGGCAGAGCTCATCAATGAACATTTCCCTCCGACACTTTGCTGAGGTACAAGGTGGAGGAAAAGAAGAAGAAGACTGAGTGGATGAAAGGGCTCCATTTTGGAGAACAAAGAATAGACCGACAGCCCTCTTGAGAAGCAAGTCGTAAAAGGTGATTTTGTTTCCCTCCGACATCAGAGATCATCTGCTTGAGAGGTGAAAAACCAACAATCTGCATACAAATTTGAGGTTCTGAGGTTTTGAACAACCGATCAACATCATGGCACACAGATAGTAACCCATAAGTGCACCGTTATTTTTCCAACTCATCTTTGATCTGAAAAAGCTCAGCACCATGTACAGGCTCTGTAGCACCGACGAGGATCCTGAAATATTTTGGGTAGACTTTCAACTCCAAAATTTACCCAGGCAGTGCCGTTAGGCTACTCTTTTTGATTTCCAACTGTATTGAATTTTTTACATGCACAACAATGCACACAGGAGTCCGATCTCACTATCAAGAGACCATGGGGAATTACTAGAAATGCAAATCCACATGAAAAAATCCCAGCCCTTACCGGGGATCGAACCCGGAACCTCTAGCACTCGAGGCAGACACCATGCCTCTAGACCACGCTGCCCCCACATTCAAGTGAACCAGATCTGTAAAATGGATGTGCATTCAGAATTCAAGTTCTGGAACATGATTAAAGCCCACAAGTGGACAAACAGCCAGAATTTTCCTTAGGACTGTTTTCTGTTCTCCGTCAATTCACAGACCAAGAAAGACAATATCTCCATATGCAGGAAGGCTAACCCTGTCCACAAATGCCTGCAGAAGTCGGATGTTTCAGCCAAAAGGCACAAATATCACAGCCATGCTGTAAACAGGCGCAACACAATCTCATCTTCAGATGAACGAAGAAGAAGTATTTTCCCATCTTTTTTATTGTAGCTTACCGAGAAAACAGATGACCTATTCTTAACAGATGTCACACACTGCACCAGGGCTATTCAGCTAAGTTTACTGAGAGACCCAACATTTTGAAAATGGAGATCATTACGGGCCAGAGGCCTGAATCCCGGCATAGAAAGATAATTAATACAGTATAATGCCAGTGACCCGCGGGCCACTTGCTAGGCCTCTGCGGGCCAAATTTGGTCCACTGTCCAACAGTTAAATAGATCCTGCACTAGACAATGCGAAACAAGTTTCAGCTTGTGCTGGGGTTTCACTGCAGTTCTCTCATGTATTGTTTGTCCCTTGTCTGTCTGTCTGCCCCAGGTGTCATACGTGCTGGCAGCCCTGCAGGCCGGCTCACGAGGCACCCAAGCTTGTATCCACGCAGCCAGCACAGTCAGTGGCATCATTGGCGATCTGGACACAACCATCATGTTTGCTGCGGCCGGCACACTTAATGATGAAGATTTGAACTCCTTTGCTGACCAGAGGTGAGGTGTTAAGTCTTCTTCTTCTGCCTTCTATTAGCTTAATAGAGCAATTCAACAAATATGTGGGCCTTCTCCACAAGGGAGGTTGGCTGCAGTTGATGTTTGTGTTTTGTAGTTGCAGCAGATGTAGTAGTAGTAGCAGTTGTAGTGGTAGTAACAGCAGTTGTAGTAGTAGTAGTAGCAGTTGTAGTAGTAGTAACAGCAGTTGTAGTAGTAGTAGTAGCAGTTGTAGTAGTAGTTTAGCAGTAGTAACAGTAGTAGTAACAGTTGTAGTAGTAGTAGTAACAGTTGTAGTAGTAGTAACAGTTGTAGTAGTAGTAGTAACAGTTGTAGTAGTAGTAGTAACAGTTGTAGTAGTAGTAGTAACAGTTGTAGTAGTAGTAGTAACAGTTGTAGTAGTAACAATTGTAGTAGTAGTAGTAACAGTTGTAGTAGTAGTAGTAACAGTTGTAGTAGTAGTAACAGTTGTAATAGTAGTAGTAACAGTTGTAGTAGTAGTAGTAACAGTTGTAGTAGTAGTAACAGTAGTAGTAGTAGTAGTAGTAACAGTTGTAGTTGTAGTAGTAGTAGTTGTAGTAGTAGTAGTAACAGTTGTAGTAGTAGTAACAGTAGTAGTAGTAGTAGTAGTAACAGTTGTAGTTGTAGTAGTAGTAGTAACAGTTGTAGTAGTAGTAGTAACAGTTGTAGTAGTAACAGTTGTAGTAGTAGTAGTAACAGTTGTAGTAGTAGTAACAGTTGTAGTAGTAGTAGTAACAGTTGTAGTAGTAGTAGTAACAGTTGTAGTAGTAGTAACAGTTGTAGTAGTAGAAAAGAATATCTGGAGGAGCTGGACAAAGGTACAAGATGCTGCAGTAGTAGAAAAACAATTAGGCCAAAAAAAAGTGGAAGGTTAAAAAGAAGAGGAAGAGAAAAAGGAATTATTTGTCACTTTCTCTTTTACCTCTTTTGGTGTGAATGAAGAAATACACGGTTCTGCTTCTTCCTGGTAAAAATTCTTTTTTTTTTTCTTTGTCACTTCCCCTTTTACCTATGTGAGTGTGAAGGCAGAGATATAAGGTTTTGCTTCTTTCTTTTCTTGCTTCTTTGACCATGGTCACACATGCTGTTGTAGAATTTCTCTTACTTTATTTTTAAATCTTGTTCTTTGTTTTCCACTTGCTTTACATCCCATTCCTCTTATGTTGCAATTTTGCAGTTTTCTGTCCCAAAGTCCTGTAATATTGCCATAGAAGAAGTATTACAGAAAGTAATTTCTTGTTTGTTACTTGAACAGAGAAAACATCTTGAAAACAGCCAAGGCTCTAGTAGAAGATACAAAGACACTGGTTGCTGGAGCGGCTTCCAACCAGGAACAGCTGGCAGTGGCTGCCCAGTGTGCGGTGAAAACCATCACCAGGTTGGCTGACGTTGTCAAGCTGGGAGCTGCATCTCTGGGCTCAGAACAGTCTGAAGCACAAGTAAGTCAGTTATAAACCTTTAAGTTTTTCACTGGGCAACACCGGTGTGTTGGGAAATGAACAGGCGGACAGACTGGTTGGCTGTGCACAACTTTGTGGAATAGTGATGCATGATAGGGCAGACGTGATTAGTGCCTTGTGGGAGAGCGTGTACACTTCGGATGAGCAGATGGATCACCACAGTCTGGTGAGACTAATGCAGCGGGGACTGACGAGAGGTTCTGGCAGATGCTCAAGACTTAGAGGAGAGGAAGGCAAGACGGACATTTAATCAGAATGCTACTGGCACCATTAGTATCAGAACTCTTTACTGGCTGCTGAGGATGTGGATGGAGCGCTTATAGGAATGCTCCTAGTGCTGTGATGTTGGTTTTTGAATCAACTCAACTCCACTAAACCTTTACTGCCATAACTCTTTCTTTACTGCAGTAACTTTACTGTCATCCATTTAGTGCTATGACTTTACAACAACCACTTTACTACCATCCCTTTATCTTTCTTTATCTTATAACTTGACACTGGTGGCCCCCAGACATTTCTCTTATTTCTTCGTCCCTTTTTGATTTCATCCCATTTTATGTTCAACATTTTCCTCTGGCATTTGTTTTCAAATGCATTTAACTTTAATTCAGCTTAATCAGTAAATTGTAATCTTCAGATGACTATTATGTTCTGAAACTGTCTACTTTCCAGGTGTTGCTGATCAATGCTGTGAAAGACGTGGCCTCAGCACTGACCGATCTGATTAGTGCCACCAAGAATGCATCAGGCAAGAGCATCCAAGACCCAGCTATGCTGACATTGAAAGATTCTGCAAAGGTAAGTCGACTGTGTTGAGTGGTCCCATTCCCCATGTATGACTGTCTCATGCTGGTACGTGTTCTGATACATCATGTGTGCAAGCAGGACATGAATGATACAGTTATTGAGACAGACTCACAGGAACACAATGCTAGGGACCCTGTTGTATGGAGGGTGCAAACTGAGAATGAAGGAAGAAATGATTGCAGAAAGGATGAGAGCTGAGCATCTGAGAAGAAAAAGATTAAACACAGATGTTGACAACAATGGTCTTGAAATCCCATGCTGTAATTTTGGAAGACTTCCTAATGCCCGCAGGTCTTGCTAGTCGCACTTGCCATCGCTATGTCCCAAGCCTCCTCATTGTGCAATATAACACAATCACCTGGGAAGACAGAATGGTGCCAATCAATCGCCAATCATTGAAAAAAAAATGTTTAATGCTATATTCTCTGTGCAGGTTCCGAAACCCCAGTGTGGTAAAAACAGAAATAGACCCATTGCCGACCTAGAAAGCATGTCATAGATGTCGACTAATAGGTGGCTTCCTTCGAAGTCGAAGTGTCTCTGCCTAGGAGGCTAGGAAGGACCTAACATTTGCTTACAAATATGTCAGATCTGTGAACAGATGTGTATGTTAGCACTCGGGTTCTGGAGCAAGACTAAGTCCAGAGATTTACAAACAGCCAGAACTTTCCACCGAAGTTACAGCCAGTGAGCACAAGAAGAAGATTATAGTCTATATTTAAAAAAAAAAAAAAAAGAAGACACTTTTTACACTTCATATAGATAACAAAATGTTTGGGAAGTAAAGAGTGGTAGTTGTTAAAAGTTAAAATTAAGATAGCACTGTATACTCTGTATACTTAAAAGTTTTAGAAAGTATACTGTCCAGGTTTGTTTTTCCCTAGAAACAGAAGTGCAGTACTCACCACATAGTGTCTTAACAAAATACTGCTAGTCTCTGCAGAGATTCTGTTACATCAGTGCTGAAAAGGATTTTGCCTTAAAAAAAAAAGTAATGTTTCCCCGATGTGAATTTGAACAAAGAAGACACAAACAATATCCAGGTGGCTTTATTAAGTGCCATTGCCAGCCACCTAAACCAGTTACCTTAGAAATGTCGGTGCCAAAAAAACTAGCCTATATACATCTAACGTTTCGGGGAAACGACGTCATGCAACGTATATATGACCGACTCAAAACAGCAGTCCATCAAACCTTTTACGCAGCCATGCCTGTTATGAGATTTAAAACCACCAGGATTCCTACACCACCAGTAAAAGAACCAGTGTCGACGTACGCTAGATCTAACTGTATATACCAATTTAAATGCACCTGTAACGCTGCATATGTGGGCAGAACTGATCGACGACTGGAGAAACGGGTTGCTGAACATATTTCACTATGGGTGGTAAAAGCAATGCAGAACACTAACACCTCAACAACAACGAATCAGGTGACTGGTCGAAATAATCCATCATCAGCAACTGCGTGCCATATTCTAAATTATGGGCTCATCATTAACAGGGAGGATGCATTTTGAATTATTTACAATTCGGCCAACCGTAGATGACTTCGATACGCGGAAGCTTCCGCGATTGGCAGATTGAAGCCGGAACTATGTAGTCAAAAAGAAATGGTCGTTGCCCTACGCTTACCTTGGTGAAACAGTTTGAAATGTACTTGAATTCGTGTTTTAGTTTCTAGGGTTCAGCTATTTGCTTTATTTTAATTAATTGTTGCTGTAGTATGCACCTGACGAGATACAGCGAAATATGCCAGGCAATAAATTGTGCAGTCTATTGTTTGTGTCTTCTTTGTTCAAATTTTAAAAAAGTGTCGGTACTGCATACCATTGTGGACCACTAGGACAAAATGCCCTGGTGCTATCTTTTAAAACTATAAAGTTGTCTGAGTTTTGGTAACACAATAACTAGACAGACACCTGCCTGCCAGCCTGAAAGTGTTAAGTTTGAATCAGCTTCCAGACATATTTATATAAAATGACCCAGGTCAGTTTGTCAAAAATTGATCATTTGTTAGGAAATGTTCTGTGAAGCAAAGGCAGCTGATGTGATATTGATCACATCATACATTGAGTGCCTGTTGGTCTGTACAAATATGTGTCCAGCATCACGTGGCTAATGGACCAGTTGGGGTGGGGGTTGGGGGGGGGGGGGGGGGGGCCTTATCTGTTACTGTATGTTACGAAACCACAAACACATTTACATATTCAACTCCGAGATGTGGTATGTACCATTAGCATGTTAGCTAGTAAACTCTAGTTAGTTAGTTAGTTAGTTACTTAGTTCGTTAGTTAGTTACTTAGTTCGTTAGTTAGCTAGTTAGTCAGTCAGTAGGTCAATTTCTCAGTTAGTCAGTCAGTTAGTTAGTTAGTTAGTTAGTCAGTCAGTCAGTAGGTCAATTTCTCAGTTAGTCAGTCAGTCAGTTAGTTAGTTAGTCAGTCAGTAGGTCAGTTTCTCAGTCAGTCAGTCAGTCAGTTAGTTAGTTAGTAAATCGAAAGATTATCCTCATTGCAAATCGGACAACTCTGAGAAGTTCTCTGCACTAAATACAGCATGGACATTAATTTAGAAGAATGGACTGTCTCACACCTGCTTTTGTTGTTTGTTGTCAGTAACAGTAGTAGCATTGCTTGTGAGATTTATCATATTGTATTAAATGTATTAAATATGCCAGGGCAAGTGATAAAAGCATTTGTTTCCTAGTCTGCATGAAACAGTATGCAGAAAAAAAATTTTTTCAGGACACAGAATAGCCAGTTGCAAAATCTAGAGTACGTGTTGTGACACTTTAGCAGTATGTGCATGCAACAGCTCGTACAAGATGGCTGCAGCACTGTTAACATGCACAGTGGAAAAGCATTGAGATGTTAATCATATTTGGGCAGAGGATATTAGACCATCTGAAATCTTATCGCAGAATGAAGATTTAGTACAGAGACATTTGTTTGTGTCAGAGGAAGGTGTTTGAATGGGTGGAAAGGGATAGCGTCAGTGATAAAAATCTTAGTGGGTTTTCTGTTAGTGTGGCAACTGAGACAGTGAAACAGCAGTTGGTGCTGGGAATCTGCCACAGCATATGAGTCACTATTGATGAAATGGCTGAAGAATTCTCCATCTCTGTCACGCCGTTGGATTTAGGAACATGCGTAGCAGATGGGTTCCACAGCAACTAACTGATAAACAGAAGCTCACCAGGCTAATGATTGGTCAGGAGCATTTTGGACCATCATGCCCATGAAGTTGATGGTTTTCTGCATTGCACTCTGGCAGAGGATGAGTCCTGGGGGTCTCTATAGTGAAGTGGTCAAACTGTTTGCCTCGCTGTCTGAAAGTCGTGGGTTTGGTTAGTTTCATGACTGCGCCCTTAAGATCATAAGTGCAATTTTTTTGGAGATCCCCGGGAATCGTTGCCTTGGCTACAGATTTTGTGCTCTGCGCTGCATTCTTGGTAGGCACTAGCCATTCTGCTGAGGGAAATCCAGCTATATGAGATAGAACCTGGTGCACTAAAAAGTCGATCTTCTCGGTTTTAACCTTTAACCTGGATGCATCATTATGAACCAGAGAGTAAGAGATAATCGATGCAGTGGAAGCACCAGGAGCCACCGCCACTGAAAAATTCACAACACAGGTTTCAGCTGGGACATTCATGCTCACCTTTTTTGGTATGTCAGTGGCCATGTATTGATGTATTTCCAAGAAAGGGGTGAAACTGCATTAGTGCTTGTTACACTGACATGTTACAGGACAAGTTGAAACCCGGGATCTGAACAAAACAATAAGGTCTTCTCTCAAAAGTAGTTTTGTTGCTGCATGGCAACACCCTCCTCCACATGGCTGCGCATGCAGTAGATACACCACTGACTATGCGGTTTGAAGTATTGAAACATCATTTGACCTATTAAAAGACCAGGGGGGGGGGTGTTGTCAGAGATTTGCAGATGACAGTGAGGTTAGTTTGGTAGTTCAGACTTGGTTGGTTACTGGCCACACCCAAAAACTTCTTCCTGGCAGGCTACCGCAGTCTCAGGGTCATAAATAAAATCCTAACCTGCATATTCGACAATGACTGCACTAGCCCTGTGGCCTTAAATCCTCAGGATCAGTCTCTGCCTGCAGAGCAACTGGTCATCTGTCAAGATAATCACATCAGATGTGAACTCTGTGGCTTCAGAGATGATTCCCAGGGATTTCTGAGAAAAACTGCACTATTGAACTGATTAGCACTTCACACAGACAAAGACAAAAGATTGGGGGGGGGGGGGGGGGGGGGGGCGTGGGACAGTATAAGCTGCATGGTTATATGATTGAACAGTTATATTTTTTGTATGTTATTATTATTATTTTTTTCACTTTGCATAATCGTACCCTGATCTGTTCTATTGGCATATTGTCTGTATGTGTTTCAGGCCAAAAATTGTTTAAATTTTGACTTTTTAATTGCTGACATAGTCTTCTGTGTCATTAACTCTGTAGAAGCACAAGCCCAGTTATCTCCCTCTGTAAGAATGTATGCGTTGTTATCTTAGTTCTGTGTTATATTTGGCAATGGCGGGAGTGTTGTAGCATTCAGAAAGCAATGACAAACTTCGTTTCTACCATTACGGCTTTGGGTGTCTTGGTTCTGCTTGCGGCTGGGTTGTCAGTGGACTATTCTCTGGTGTTTTTTTTTAAGCCCCTTCTGAATGGGGCCTCGGAAACCACATTGGAATGTGACACTTGTTTAAAAAGTGTCCTTTGTTCGCCCTTCCCTCCCCCATATACTGTATATAACCAAGATTTCTGCCGCTCACTCTCCGACTGTAGCCATCCTAGAAACAAAACAGATTCTGACATTTGCTTGTGCACTTTGCTCTTACTGCCAAAGTAGCGGCTGTGTAATCATAGGATATTTTGAAGAATATTCACATGACGAGATTGTTTTGCGGTAGAAGCATGTGCCAGTAACCCGGTGCCTGAGGTGCTCCACTAACAGCATGATGCATTGCT